GAAAGCGCTGCTTAAGCCATAATTCTGTGTATGTCTGTGTGTCCACTTGCCTGTGTGTATGTGTGCGTGTGTGTGTTTGCGATGATGTGTGTGAGAGCTATTGATGCTCGCCTGTCAAAATGTCATTAGCAGTATTTCCCTTTAAGTGTCAGAGAAGCAACAAAGCGCACACCTCAAAGTCAATTACGTTACACACACCAATCGCATAGCCGCCGGCGCCTTGAAGTATGCCATGATTCAATAAATTGTTCCCATATAAATAGGAATTATGTAAAATATTATATTACATAGTACATATCTTATCAAATACGCATTTTCTTATTGATTGTTAGCTGGCGAAAACATTTCATAAATAAAAAATTGCCTCGTATTTTTAAAAGGCATCGTCCACCACACTTTAGTAAATACATAAATAAATCATGAGCATTATTGTGCCCGATGACTGATGGACTTTAAAGCCTGTCCTGCTGGTGCTTTAACTTCTTCTGCGTCTCCTCTTCAGCGTGGCAATTAATAAAGGATTTGGTTGCTGTTGCCTTAAAAAGGCATTTGAAGCAACTACTTTGATTATGAATGTGGCCATCACGGATATAAAACGGAGGATTAAGGAATAAAAAAAACGAACAATTTATGTTATATTGTAAAGTAATTTGACGCCTAAAAAAGCAAGTTATTTTCTGAGATGCTTCTGGTTATCAGCACACACTTATTTATATAATCAGCTATTCCTAGTGTATTTCATTACAAATTTCTGGCATCGTCAGTAAGCATTACTATATAGATTATACATACTATTATTTTATTTTGAATATATGTATATAAATCTGAATTGTGTGTCAAGTTTTTGGCAGCAGTCTTTTAATTTAAATTGTTCGTTATAAGTTTCACTATTAACAGGTTTTGCAGTTTCGTTAAATTAATTGATAGCCGTCATATATTTATAATCACCTATTGCTCGAACATAATCTGCTTAGCTGAGTCCTAGCTTTTCCACGCTTTTAAGTAATTAAAACTGTTTCTATTTTTTTACTTTATGTATATTTTGGGTAACCAAAATTTGCTTATTAATAGACTTTTTGTTACTGTTGCTGTTTTTGCCATCGCTGTAATTTGATTATTTATGCCTATTTAAGCGTTAAGTGCCAAGGGTAATGTTGTTTGCTATGTTGTGATGCTTCACCCTGGGACTTGAACTTGTTTGCAAGGTTAATAAATAAAGTTTGTGGCTAAATAGGCAAACAAATTTATAAATAGAAGAAGAACTTGCTGCATCCCTAAGATAAGTTCCCTCATAAAATGTTTTTCTAGCGCTTAGACAATCAACTTCAATACTAATTGCTACAATTTTTTTGACATTGACCACAAGCAGGAAATTGAATTTGGTGGCCAAATCCCCTTTGCGCGCTGTGAAAAGCACAAAGCACCCCAGGGAGGCAAGTTTTAGTTAAAGACCATTTGTTAGACCGTGCTGCGCTGCTTGTAATATGTTTTTATTAAGCATACGCAGTGTGAGCCCCAAATGAATTAACTTGTAAATTAAAATACGGTGGACTTTAAATTTTAAGATACAGGCTAAAGGAGACTAAAGTTGTAAACCTATCATTTAACAATTTAAACAAACGTAGTATTCTTATTCTGGGTCTTCTGTATTGAAATAAAAAAACATTTTGTTTGCCTTCAACGAACTGGAATTCAATTTCGGACTCTCACTACCAATATATTCATTCATTCGAAATTAATTCGCACGCACGCCCTCGTGCTGAAGTTCATAAGCCTCCTGCCCATTTAATTGTTATTACCCAATCAGTCCGAAGTTCAATTGAGCCCAAGTGCAATGCGTACGCCTCGTTTATTGAACTGTCACGTGCTAATAAGACCGTCATTTATTTTTGACCGCCTTTGGCGCTTCGCACTGCCAATTTACAGAGCGAGAAATATACAAAAATAAACACACAGTCAAACGAACGAACGAAGAAAATAAAGCATTAAATTTAAATGAGACAGTAACCGATCGAAGGCAACGCATTAACCTTGGTATTATTGAAACAGATGTGAGGGCCTTGGGGGTCGCTGGACGCTCTGGCCAGACCAACTCAATAGCGACATTCAACAATGGGAATCAACAAAATTATTACGCATATAGCGCATTGTGTCAAAATAAACAAATAAAACTGAGCGGTGAGCATTAAACAAGGCAGACATCAGGCGCCGAAATTGAAGCGTTCGACAAACTTTCTAACTTTCAATTGACAATGAACGACCTTGACGAAAATCAAATGCCAACAGCCGCCTCGTTAAACTTGATGCGGCTTAGCGTTACCTTTTTGTCTCTACGCTCTGGCATCCTGTTTTGTTTTGCAAATTTTTGTGTCGTGCCCTTTGAATGCGAAATTTCAAAACTTGAAATTTATTTATGCATCGTCAAAAACGGTATTTGCATTTTTGCATAGGGCCATCATGCTAACGGTATTTATGGCTGTCAAGGTCGATATTTAATAGACGTGCCCAGCAGCAGCAGCAGCAGCAACAACAGCAACAAAATCAATGAACATGCGGAGCTGGTTCAATAATTAAATTGCATAGCATACTTTTTGGGGCTGCAGAAGTAAACAACCAACGCAAGCTGCGCATAAAAACGAATGTGGAAAATCAACAACAACAAGCATGTGAGGCAAATACAACCATTTTAGTGTCTTGGCCATCTCACGCACGTGCTGCGGGAAAAAATTATAATGACAAGAACAAATGCGACAGTAAAAAAAAGAGGAACAGCAAAATTGTTCGCAATTGTTATGCCGCCTTTATGTGTGTGCATATATCTAGTGAGTGTGTGTGGGTTGTTTGCGGCTGACAGTTTATTGTTCTTATTGCCTAGTTGGCTTGTTTTGGTTGTTGCCCGCAAGGACGTTTGTCAGCCTAAATTGGTGGCCCAAAAGGCGCGGCTGTATAAGCAAAAGCACGCTACTTGAGTGTGAGTAGCTGAAGGATAACCAGTTTCGTTCTATGCCTAATTTTGTAGACAATGTAAATATAAATCATAATACAAAAAATCTGAAATCATGTTGAAGTCCAAGGCAAAATGAAAGGTGATACTTAGTGCAATAGTAAAAACTATAAATAAAACTTGATATGAAACTGAAATTTGAATTAAAACTTAAAAAAAAATAAAGAAAATTGAAAAACCCATAAAATTGTACAGTTAATTCCGCCATTTAATTGGATTTAATTGTAACATATACATAAAAAAAACACTTGTCTTTTTAGTGAATAAAGTACACACGAATTCGACAAACTACTTAAAACAAAATTTAAGCCTAGTAGGCCTACATAACCAAAAAAAAAAAATGGCACACATAATTAATTTATATCATTTTTATTTTTATTTTATTTATTAATTTTTATCATTTATATTGTTCTTAGAATTTTAAGTTACTTAGAGATTATAAATTATATTATATTTATATTTTATTATATACATTTAATTATTGCGTTTATCTCTCCACTTAAATTTTTTCTGCATTATTAGCTTCAAAACCATCTGCGAGCTAAAATGACCATTGCCTGCCCTACACTTAGCTCACCCCAAGCGCTTTTTAAGCTCATTCTTGCATAATTTATTTGTTTTGTTTTTCATAAACAACAACAACGACGCATTTTAGAAGTAAATGCGTGCAAAAAGTAATTAGGTTTCTGCGGTTGATTTAATGACCACCATCATTGGGATTAGCGCAGACAAATTAAATGAAAACATTTTAAATGCGGGCGCAACTCGGCGTATGCGCAACAATGACATACTCGTGTAACGTATGCGTCATGTTGTTGTGGAGTTTTTATATTTTTTTATATTTGAGCTTGAAACGATTTTCTTATTGCTGTGTGCCAATTTAAAAGTGCTGCGCGACCTAAATCTCACCATCAAGGACACCTTGACTGCCCATATGGCCAATTCCCAGCGCCTTTCAATGCAACAGCGCTAGAGGCCAAGTCGCTTTCTAGCTGCTGGCGTTGCATTATAATCAAGTATAGCTCATGGCGTTGATGGCGGGCGCCACACCACATAGAAATAGATACTTAGTTCGCTCAATTACTCTTCAACTACTAGGTATCAGTGTCGACTCCATTGGCTGACTTATAGTTTTAAATTACTTTTCCCTCACACGCTGCTCAGTGTGCTATAAATAATAGTTGCCAGGACCAAAAGGATTTTCAGTATCAGTGGAATGTGCAAGTGCAGCCGCTTGACAGCTGCTCTGGCCTTTTGCTCAATGCAATTTATATTCGTTATTTTTGTGTTTCGTTGCCTCTTACGTATGTGAGCTTTAAGACGTTCATGTGTAAGACTAAGCTAAAGTCGAATTAAAGCTCTGTATTCTATTTTAACTGCCAGACCTTTGCCAATCCACTTAAGATAATCAATGAACAGTAAACCCTGATAAGAGTCGGCGCTGCGTGGGCCAAAGTTCAATTGTTTATGGCCTCAAGAGAGTGCCTTTTAAATGGGCTGCGAAATATAACAGCTTGCTGTCAATTTCAAGGTCAATAAGTTGCCGTCGTCTGGCTCGAAGGGGTGTGGCCTGCTAATGGAATGAAAACTTCAAAGGCTAAGTAAGAATCTAAATACATATTAGACGAGCTGCGATTAGAATTAAACAAAATTGCAATCAATAAAGTTGATATTAAATCAATCTAAATTAATCCAAAGCGATTACGACATTGAAATTTTACTTTTCAAAAAAAAATTGAGAGAAAAAATGCAGTTTAATACTGAACTGTCTGGGTCACCAAATAAAAGTGAACTCGTACGGATTTTTTCTTCACAGGCATCCAACTTGAATTGTTTAGTTGGTACTGACGACTTTCTATCATATTTGTGTTGAAGCTCAATTTGACTCTATCAATTATAATTAAAACCAATGCTACTTTTACATACAAATACGGAATAGAATATAATTCGAAACTGTGTCGACCGCCAAATAACCCCACAATTCCTTACCCCACAGGCTGAATCACCTTTACTGCCCCTAAAGGAGGACGAGCCCAGTAGAAATCACAGTAGCTTAGCCCAACCACCCGCACCACCTTCGCCAACTACGACAACAACAGCCACACCACCTGCAAATAATAAGCACATATCAGGTAAGTTGCCTAAAAATAGCGAAATGTTTGGAGAAAACACGTATCAATCAAAATCTCAATTGCAGGCACGTCCAATGAATGTCGCAGACGGAACTCGTTGAATACAACGCCCCCATTTGAGAGCAGCACAGTAGTTGAGATTGTAGACGAGAAGGAGACCAATAACAACAATAACAATAACAACATCCATCAAAAAGGTGACTTCTATTCAACACCTTCGGCCGGCACACCGACACACACACACGACTACAAACTCTATCCGCACGATACTTTCGCACGTCTAGAGGGTAAGGCGCCCAAACCTAATACCAAAATGCAATCCAAGGTCGATGCTGTTGGCCAAATCACCGGCCAATGGGGTAAATGGCAACTGCGCACTGTCCTATTGATATTTTTGTGCAAAATACCCTCGTCCTGGTTCATGGCGTGCATCATTTTTACTGCGCCAGCGCCACGGCACGGCGAGTTCTTCTGCAAACCCCCGCATACGGTGAGCGCTCAGAATGCCACGCAGTGGATCAAAGTATCGCATCCGCAGAAAGAGGAAGTGGACGATCGTGAGTTCACGATAGACTTTTGTAATGTGTATCAGGATGCGCAGCAGCATGCCCATCACTACTATAAGTATGCAGACAAGGAACAGGAGCCGCGAGTATGGGAACAGCCCGAACATCGCAATGCCAACGTTATACCCTGTACCGAGTTTCAGCATCAGGCCGAATACCATTCGATCGTGACGCAATACGATTTAGTCTGCTCCCGAGACATTCTCGTCTCCGTAACGCAATTCTTCCATCTCTTTGGTGTGCTCACAGGCGGTATATTAGCCAATCATCTGCTCAAATAGTAAGTGTGATCATTGTGCGAATCAATAGTCTTAGTATTTCTTAATACATTCCGCCATTTTGTGTTTCTAGCTTCAGTCCCCGCGCTGTCATGCTCTTTGGTATGGTCACGCAAATCTTCTGTGGCAATGTTACGGGCCATGTGTCTTCCTATGAACTCCACGTCTTCTTCCGCTGCCTATCGGCTGTTTGCTGCGCTCAGATGTATACCGCCGGTGGCGTTATAAGTAAGTAATTGTGTTCAAATTGTTGTTTAACGGACAAAAACACGTTTCTAATTTCAGTACTCAAGGTGGCAACGCCATACAATGTTGTTTTATTTCATACTTTATAAATAGGTGGCAGCCCAACAAACAGCTGATTCAAAATTTGAACAAAATTTGTTAAACTAGTTGTCCATTTCAAATCGCTTCTTTAACTTTATTTAACAATCAAATAACAAATATAATTGTACTTTTTTAACAATTTTTATAATCAATGCTATGGTTGTTGCAGCAATACCTTTGAATTCAAATATTACACTATACATTGTTTTAAAAAATTAATTAACATTTAACTAACAGTGCCTGGTTTTTGAATAACGATGTTGACGCTTTTTATAGCCATGCAAGTAATAAAAATGTTCGCTTTTCAAAAACTAGTCATTCGGCTCGGCTATAAAACAAAATTTTTTGGTATTCTCGTAATTTATAGTAAAGCCGTCTATAGTAAAAATTATCGGTTTGATTGTACAGCAGCAAGAAGGAGTCTATTTTATCGGCTGGAGAACGCGGGAGCGTTACTTCTAAGTATTGTTAAGGTTTTTACACAGTGCAACCTGTTTTCGGTTTGATATAATTATGCGCCGCAATTGTAGAAACCTACGTTTTAATTTATAATTTATATTGTCCGAATATTAATTTCTTGTACGAGGAAATAGAGTAGAACTTTTCTGCTATCAAAAATTTCCCCATCTATTTAGAAAATATTTCCTAATCTATGTCCCTTTCTATTATTTCCTTCTTAGTGTCCGACATAACTGGTGGAAAATATCGGACTTGTGTAACGACGCTCTTCGAGCAATTCTGGTCTGTTGGTGTAATGCTGCTGCCAGGCTTGGCCAGCTTATGGTCGAGCTGGTCGCATCTTTACATGGCAATCTCTTGGCCAACTGTGATACTCATCTATTTATGGCAGTAAGTTGAAGGTGCCTTACATTCAATAAGTACATATAAGATAATGACTTTTTAATGCTCAGATGGATACCTGATTCGCCTCGCTGGCTGATCGCACGCGGTCGAGTTCAGGAGGCCAAGGCCATTCTACTCGAATGCGCGGAAATGAATGGCACTCGTAACAGCCTTCCCCACGATATTGACCAGCAGCTGGAGCTTCAGTCCCAGACAGAAATCGAAGCACCACCACCAGCCGGGTGGTGGTCCATGTGGAAGGGCAAAAATGCTGTTCGTCACATAATCTGCGTCCACTTGGCCTGGTCGCTCTACGTACCCATCTATTATGGAATGCTGCTCAACATCCGCTCCTTCAGTCGGGAGCATTTATATGTGAATACGGCAGTGGCCGGCTTTAGTGAAATGATGGGCACCTTCGTCGGTTTGTTTCTCATAATGAAAACCACCCGGAAGTGGCTTTGGACAGGCCTATTCAATATCATAGCGGGATGTATTGCATACTGCGGCTGGTTGGTTCCACACCCGCCTGACGTTTCATTCGATACACGCGTCGCCTTGCTGATGCTTTCGGCCATGATCTCAAAAATGGCCATATCCTGCACACTCTCTATACTCACGACCTGCACAGGGGAGCTGGTTAGTCCGGAGAAGCGTAAAATCACAGCGTTCTCCACAATCTGTTGGGCCCGCTTTTGGCTGCTTGGTGCCCCCTTCATTGGCGCCTGTGTAGTCTTTGGCCAACTGGTGCCACAGACTGCCTTCGCCTCGCTCTCCATTTGGGGTGGCTTAATGACTGCGCTCATAAGCAGTCCACGCACGCATCCGATTTCGCGACCAGCATCACCTAGGCAGGGTGCTCAGAACATGGCTTCGCAGTTTACGATCATAGAGGGTGTGGACAACAAAGGTTATACCCCAAGCACAAAACCCATTCACACTTCAAGTACTTTAAATAAGCTGACCAAACCACAATCGAATCTACCTCCTCAACTAATGCCCGGCATTTGGACGACCAAGGTGCATGAGGATGGCCCACCAATGTGATATGGCAAGACGATGCAATTATTGTGACATATAAGGAAATATTTCAGGCTTCCAATCCACTTTAAATCAATATAAATCAACAGAAGTCTTTAATTTGCCGTTGAATCTAAAATGGAAAACAGAACGTGTTCTAGTTTTGTTTAATTTTTGCGCTATTTATTCTAAGAATCTCTTTTGATCGAAAGTGGTATTGTTAGTTTGTATCGTTCCTGACTATGTTTACAAAATGTGAGGTTAGAGCTGAAGTTAATTCATGCTCTGGTGGTGGTGCTGTGACTCGTGACTTGCTGAACCCAACAAAATAATGTACAAGTCCAATAATTTTATATACTTTATGGGCACTAGCCAAGTCGTATGCTAGCACAAAACTAGAAAAGTCCCGTTTTTTGATAATGCACTTAAGCCTAACTTTTTTCTACAAGAATTGTAGTTAAAGCGCTTTTCGCTGCTAGTTAACGAGCACAATTTACAAAATGTAAACTAAATCGAAACCAATTTAAATGCTCAAACTAAAAATCGAGAATATCTCTAATGTGAAGCAACTAATTACCATTTGTAAAATATTAAAACTATACTTTAAGTAGTGAACGTTTTAAGTAAATCAATATATATTAACTTTAAAAAGACGCTCGAAATACATGAAATGACATACATATAAGCATAGACAAATAATTGTTGTATAAAGATATAATGGTTTTGACATTTTTGTTCACATATTTTGACACCTTAATTTAGTCGGTAGTTAAAAACACACACATACATACACACTTAGGCCATAGAAAAAAGCCATTTGTCCCACAGTTGGCCATAAAGTAGTCTCGTAAGTTAGCAAAGAGCCAGTGGATCATGCCTCAGATATAAGCCCAGTATTATATACATATATATGCCGCTTATGCAAACAATTTCTCAGAAATATATCCACTATTTCCTATGTATCAACCAACTGATGATAAACCTTCTAAAGGCCTCGACAAAAAATACCTTCAAGCTGTTCCACATTTTAGTGATTGTGTTGAAAACACCGGAGAGAAATACATGAAAAAGACATATACACATAATTTTCCATAAATAACAACTTTAGTAGCTTGATAATGTAACCAAATATAAATTTTAATTAAAGATCCTATTAAAATACAATTACATTATTTTACTGTTAAAAAACAATAATTTTTAGACTACACTAAATATATACATATATCAAATTACTTTATTACCAATACGTATTACAGTACAGCGAAAGAAAAAAACTAAACTAAACTAAAAGTAAATTAATAGAAATCAATTACTAGTGTTTCAACTTCAAAGGAATTACGTATTGTACTTAATTGCATAAGCATACGCATACTATATATTTTACAAAGAGTCATATTTAATTAGTGAATGCGCTTAGAAATTCGTTGAATGTTAAATGATAATATTGAAAATGTTTATTATAAATGAAAAGAAATGTTATGCATGGCAAGAAGAGCAATATTTTTCTAATAAAGCATCCAAAAATCCTACTTCAGTTCATTAATTCGATAATCTACTATATTTTACATAAATGGGTACTACAAAAACACAACAAATACCACCGTCGAATTTTCAAATTTCAATTTCAAATATCACGTCATTTCAAACAGTGGCAACGCTATGCGCAAGTGCGGTCAGTGTTACCCTTTGATTGGCAGCACTATGCGCGCATATCGATAGCCACAATGCTCACGGAATCTTTTTACAACCCTATTCAAATTGTAGCGGCATTTTTACGCGTCCGTGATAATTATTTTAATGTATTGCTTTGGCTCGCAGTTATCTATTAAATCAGCAGCTTGATACACAGTAACACATCTACAAATTGTTATTTTATTTGTTGCACCCCGTCTTTGAAGACGCATGTTATGGAATTACCGACGTCCTTCCTGGAGGCGCTGTCCAAAAACAGCAGCGATACTGCGCCGGCCGCTCAATTAAATGGTGGGAGTCTGGCCAATCGCTTTGTTCTTAAGGAATTAAATACGAACGATGGTGGTCCAAAGGTAAGGGCATTAATAATATAATTTGCGACCAACGGTGGGGCGTGTTCCAGACATTCACTTTCACTGGCAGTGCGCAGTGAATTGTTGGCAAATAAACGAAACCGGCGTACACAATTTAGTCATTATTGGCAATATATGTACGTACATTTGTACATACATATATGTATGTAGATGTACAACCGTACATATATACACATTTATATCTATGTATATGTATGTATACATATATGTACATATATGTATGGCGTCTTTGGCTTGCTTGATCGATCGCCTCGCAGTCTCCATCACACACACATATGTATATAGATATACACTGCAGCATCTTGACACCATCGTCCCCCACATACACTCGTTTTAATTTTGCGCTCTTGTTGCATCTAAAATCTCGTTGTTTCTCCTTGTTTTACATTTTATATTCTTGTTTTTATTATTATGGCCTGACTGTGACTGCCTGCTGATTTTTCCCCCAAGTGACGGCCTGTCTTTTGTCAGTATCAGTATAAGTTCTATAATTCGTGGTGATCAGACGTATAAAACAGCAGTCGTTCCTTTTATTTACATATATCGTATATTTTAAAAATACGGAAGAGTTTTTTGCCCTAAATGGGTAACAAAACCGGCAAGCAATCGTCAATAGTGGAAACTAAGAGGAATTTCCGATCAGAAACAGCGGTAACACAGTCATAACTTTTTAGATAATTAAGAATATCATATATATATATCGGTAAAATATCAGTGATTCTTTTCAGTTTGTTAATAATTTGTTCTTGCCTTAAATTTATTCGTCGGTCGGACCATTTATAATTGTTTAGAACAGAGAATGCATTGTCTTTCACAAAATTTGTCTAAAAAGTGATCTTTTGTTTACATTCCTGCGGTAACAAAAGATGGGAGGTATTTAAAATTGTTCCTATAAAATAACTAAATATCTTATGAAACATGTATTGCTCTTGACGCTTCAACCCCCAAAATTTGGGGGAAAGTTCCAGATGTCCGCAACACATGCCAAAAGGCGTAGTACGCTTATGCGATTTATTTGGGTTGCCTATGTATATTTGTATTCTTATATAAATAGGCACATGGCCTTACCTTATGCCAACTTTATGTTTCAAAACAGCGATTCCCCTTTTTGACTATATCCGCCGGTTTTTTTTTTTTTTGTCAGCAGCTGTGATGTTGGGGCCAAAGTTCATTGAACATGCGCGAACGACGGTTGTCGCCTCCCCCAATTCCATTTCCACGCCGCTATTTGTCTTCTCTACCCGTACTATGCATTTGTTTTCCATGCTATATTTAGATTAGGCGCCCATACTCGTACCGTAGTGGTTTTGTTGTCTGTACGCTTATTGCATTTTAATTTGTTCTTATTATTGGGTTTACTTGGTATGTTTTTGTTTGCTGTGAACTGGAAAGTCTGCTGAAAGTGCCCAGACGTGGTTAAATTAAATCTTGTTACTTTTTACAACTTTGAAGATAGGATTTTAAATTATCCAAAGAACAAACAAATACAATACAACAATACACGAGCCTCAATATTTTATAAACAAGAGGCGTGCCACGCTAAATACGATCCACTATCTATTTGTCTCCGTATGGAACTACTTTAGTCCAAAGAAATGATAGGCTACTTTATATGTTTTGTGTTTATTTTCAAGACTTGCAAGATTTGAAAAGAATAAAAACTTGTTATTAATATTACCAATAACAAAATACGCATTCGGACATTACCTTTAAACTGCTAAAACAATTTTTCAAGAAATTTCCATTCGATTAGTGATATTATTGATGCCCCCTAGCCTTAAGCTTTGTAGTTAATGCATTGACTATATCAACTGACATATCACATGTCTTGTCACCTGTCACGCATTGGCTGTTTAACACTTATGAGCCCACCAAAGGCAAGACACCAAAACGCATTCGTGCGATATTTCACAAAACACTGCCACAACTTGTTGCTACACTGAGCAAAATAGAGCTCAATAAGCAACTACCACGCCACATTTTGTAACATAAAATCTAAGTTTGAAACTATTTATAATTCACTTTAAATTGAATGCTTCATTGAAAACGCTTTTAAGTGACTCCCTTTTGGAATGCATGGTAATATATATTTCGATCAAAGTCCTTATTATACCCTATACCCGCACGTTAAGAGGGTATACACACTTAAAAGTCCGATGGTGCATGATCGCTAGAAGAAGGCGTTACCGCACTATATTTTAAAAGTACATTATGATTAGCATGACAAAACGAGTTGTCTGCTTTTACTGCCTTATCATACTAGTCTCATCAAAATTTGTTACAAAACTCTACTAAAGTAATTTATTGTAATAAATTTGGGCAGTGTAAGTTTACAAAAATGCTATCCGAGCCACTGGACGTGGTGTACGATGCGCACCAATGGACGCCAGCACTTGGATTCCACAGACAGTAGATGGAAAATGTCATGATATTTGCAACTATTGAGCCACCCCAATGCGGCGATTTTTCATTAGCATAATATATTACTGTGAAGACTTGCCCACCGACCGACCCAAGCACATCTCATGGTGTTTGTCTACTGCATTTTTGCATTTCTTGGCCTCTTGCGGCGCCCCATTTTTTCGCTCTCTCCTTCTTTCTACCTACTGTTTGTATTTGTACCACACTGCTGTTGTTGTTGTTTGCCATTAGCCGCCAGTCTTTTTTGCATTTTAGCTGCCGCCACTCGCATTAGTTTGCCAGTATAATGCATCTAAGACGGTTGTGTGCTGCGATCGGCGACATACATTTTTAGTTTAAATTGTTTTGTGGTCGCAGTAAATTAATCAGCACCAATTGAAGTCAATAATAGAAACACCTACAATTAAAAGTAACTGTAAACTGCAACTGTCACCTTTAGCTGAGCGCCACAAAGAGCGCAGCTGAAAGAGAGACTGAGTGATCAATATTGTGGGGGTTGGCTCCACAACATTTATTTAGCATTGCTCTCTCACAACGCGTCGCTGTGGATGGCATTCAAACTCTTACTCTCTCTTTCCCTCACTCTTGCACTCACACACACACATGTAACGTGGAAAAAATAAATTGAAAACGTAAAATATTTTTAAATTGATCTCAAACAGACGAAAAGTAAAGACAAACGACACCGGACGTCGCGTCGGCGTCATCCCCGTCTACAAAATCCGAAAAATCTGTGAAATGCGTGGCGAGGCGTAAAAATCTGATCGATTATTCAATATGCAGATCAACAATAACACGAGAATTTAAACGTTTACGAACCTTGTGGAGAAGTAGACGAGCCTTGTGCTGTCATAAGAAAACAAAACGCTAAAGAAAACTCAATTAAATAAGGCAACAAATTGAAATAAAATAGCGCAACAATTATTTTTTTAAAAACATATTTTACATATATACCCATATACTAGATATATGTACATGTATTTTGATACTTAAAATTGGTGTCGAGCAGTGAACCGTTAAATGTCTTGAATTTAACAAAACCATAAATAAAACAAAAAACACATACAGAAAACTCTTGAAGTAATTCGTGCGTTAAGATTCTCGACATAATTAAATGCAAATTGCGCCATGGATTTTATTTCAAACATAATTAAACGACCCATGAGTATTGTACTACCCGATCCAAGTCCCAGCTCCAGTTCATCAACAACCGCCATATCAACGGGTATGCAGAATCAAAAGGAAAAGTCACCATCGCCTGGGCCCAATTCGCCACTCATTGCCAGAGCCATGAATCGTTCAATCAACACGGAACTGACGGATCTCTTGGACTCGGCAGCTCTAGACTTAGTGCGTTTGGACCAGCAGCAGAGTACTCACAGTGTCCATAAAGAAAATCCAAATAATTCATATACCGATCAGAAGCCAGTGGACCCCATGACTCCAATCAATAACCGAGAGACCATTCAGCAGCTCCTCAACGAAATCAATTTCAATTTGAATCAAGTTAGCATCAATGAAATGGAACATCTACAGGCTATGAGCGAGGAGGTATGAAATGCACAGTTCTATATGGGTGGGTGGATAAATGGTTATATTCAGCGATAATGTAAAAGAGTGTGGGTGTTCAGTTGGAATGTGTGAAATATTATTCAAAATACTTACTATATGTCTGCCTTTTGCGTTGCAGAAATCGGTATCTTATTTTCTTATATAAGGAGTGTGTACGAAAAATTCGTCAAAAAATCTACGAATGTGAATCTGTGTGAAATATTTTATCTGTGCTACAGCAGCCCAAAAAACCATGTTCTTTGATGCATTGGGAGACCCATAGGATTTATCATAGAACATTGTATCAATTATCAAACATGTTTTCATCTATTTCAAATAATAGTTAAAAATATTGTGTGTATTGTAAATAGGTTTTTTTTTTATTTTAGTTAATTGTTAAATTTTTTATACTTTTCTTTTATCTAATGGTTACGGCTATGGGCGTGCGAAATTGAAGTGCTATTATGTCTATTCCAAATCACTATTGATAAGGCTGGAAGAGACATTGTCAATGAACCCTTCAAACTATACATTGTTGCACTTATTATGCTTTTTGTGGTTCTACGTATTTCGGCATGTATAGTACATACTTCAAAAATAACAAAATTAAATAAACTTGTGCTGCTAGGATATTAGGAGAGTGCACATACCAAGTTTGGTAAATGTGGGCTCATTCGTCTCCGAAATCCAGACGGACATAATGATTAGAATATATGTATATGTATACTTTATCGGGTCCTTCTGGGAGTACAGGCTATAAAAATAGATATTAGTTTACTAATCTCCTAATGTTGTAATCCATTTAAATGTCGGGAATCTATTGTGTATTTATGGGGTGGCAAACATTTTTTTGTAGACAGTATGCATTTGAAAGCCGACGTTCTACTCGTTCTATGCTGTTGTTTGCCGTCTTTATACATTAATCATCTAATTGGCTAGAGAGCTGCGCACAAAACTTGCACAAAAGCCTAATTTATGTCAATGCTTAGGCACTCCCCTTTTTTTAGTTTCGAATCCACGCCCCCATCCCCCCAAACAACGACGACTGGCCAGCAGCTGACTTTAACCTTGTTTGCTGCACTCAACTTATTTGTGCTCTAATTAAATTTCGCGTGCATTGCAACCAAACGACAAGGCCTTGTAGTCCCAATCCGTCCGTCCGAGACGACAGACGACATCAAAATCAGCCGCAGTTGCCGCCATTTGCTCAGATTTTGTTCTATTTTCATGTGAGAAAAATTGAAAAAGAAACGGAAAGAGAGGAAAGGCAGACAGCGGCCTAGTTCGCTGCCCCGGCCCGTGCATGGCTTTTAAATTAATGACATTTGCTTGTTGGACGACCGACCAACGGCCATTGGTGGCGACGATGACGGCGGCGACATCGACGTGTGGACGAGATGGCGCGTGGTTGCGGTCACAACACTATGCCTCACGATTGGGGCTAAATTTTGTAATATAGTATTAATTAAATAATGCTGCGTAATTTCATTTTGAGGTTTGTCTTATCGTTCACAATTGGTGAACGATCTGGGCATTGTAGCGAGAACAAGAAAGAATTATTTAATCAGATATGTAAATAGTTTCCAAAAAATTTGTTTTTATAATCCAAATCCCAAAGGTAGTAACAAACAAGAACACAATTATATTCTGCTGTTATTTTCAACCTAAGAGGATTCAATTTTTAATTGAACTTTTTTGCATTTACATAATAAAGCTCACAATACCAATAGAAGATGACAAATATTTATTAGACAATTAATTTCTTCTTTTATTCACAGTAAAATATATATTTTAAAATAATTTTTTCTTAGTGTTTGCTGTGTACACAATTACCTTGACCATTTCGTTTTATAAAAGCTGTCATATGTACATACATACTAGATATATTCGAGGCATATGTTTATAGCTTATAAACTTTTCTTTTGTCGCGCATTAAACGTCTACATTGGGAAAATCACCAACAGCTGTTGGGCATTTTGTACGTTATAACGCTGCCAATTGCAGATTGTTGTACAATTTTATTATTTTCTCTGCTGCTCATTTGGTTTTCATAAATAAATTTTCATCAACTGACAAGCCATGTTGCATTTTCACATGCCACACGCGATGTGCAACAATCTCTGATTAATTTGCCTTGTATGCACATAATTTTGATCAACATCAGCATGTTTATTATCTTAGTACATATATCTTTGTCTTCTCATTTAATTGCCCAACAGCTCAGTCCGCTGGCTATGAAGTCCCCCAATCACGTTAAGCCGCTGGCAGCGGTGCGACCATCACTGCCGGGCACGCCCACAACGCCCACCACAACAGATCCAGCATCGGGCGAGGCAAGCTCAACGCTCGAGCACTATAAGTTGAATGCCGATGCGAATGGAGGCTTATCGAAAGGCGCTGAAATAACAGGCTTTAAATTTACGGGTTTGCCGGAATTCGATGAGACAAAAATTCCCGAACTGGCGCCTCTCATCGTAGATATGGAAGGTAAGAGTGGTAATCAATTAATTCCATTATATATGTATATTGCCCATTCTTTACCGTTTTCAAAGTTAATTTCGAATCATTTCATTTCGATTCTCAATAACAGCTAAACAAACAGATCTATTTAAGCTCAATCTGGAAAAATAATCCATTTAGATAGATGGGAACATACTAGTACATATGTACATATTAAAATCTGTAGTTCTTTAAACTTATAAAAATGCTGTTCCATCCCTTTGCAGCACAACTCAAAGGAAATCATAGCGGTATCAGTCCCGCATTGCCACTGAGCTCGACCATGAAGCTTTTGGAGCAGGATTATAACTCTGACTCGGATGTCTATGTCGAGTGCATGTCACTAAACAGTGAGAAATTCTCTGCAGATCCATCGGAGTTAGAAACTTACCGCAGTGCACTAAACGAGCAATTGGAACGTCAGTTAACGGGGGGCTCAAGGGAACCAACGCTGGGTGAAGCGACCATTGCCGCATCGCACAACTGCAGCTATGAGCCCATGGATGTGGATGATATCAACGATACAATGGAAATGATAAAGGGTGTCTTGGAACCGGAGGATCACCAGTTTTTGCAGCAACAAGTACTGAGCGAAGCACAGCACACGTCTGAGGAATTCAACCCAGAAGAGCAGATATTGGAGAAGCCAGCGGAAGTTTCTCAGGAACGTCAGAACACTGAGCAGGAGGCAGCCATAGGGGAAAAAACCGAAACACAGTTACAGCAGGAGCAGGTGCTGGCCACTTCAACGGAATGTGTCGAACAAAAAAGGTACGAAGAGGAGCGCATTCAGCCAAAAGAGGAAAGCAAGAGTGTGGAGCCAGCTGCTTCAACCTCACAGCCTATTCCTAGCCTGCAGGCGGCAACTTCAGCTTCCTTGGAACCGCTTTCGCCACCTGTACCGACGTTGCAAAGACAACAATCTCCAGAACTGGCACCCACACCCTCCATTGAAGTGCTGCCGTCATCAATAGTCGAAATACCCGTTCCCGCCCAGACATCTGAATCGCCTGATCCCCCACTTAAAGCTGTAGGTCCTCCATCTGTTTCGACTGCTGCAGTATCGCCGCCTATACCCACACATCGTCCCAAAACTGTTTCCGAGCTGGAACTTATGGCGTGGAAGGATACGCCATTGCCACCATCGCCAACACAGGATGATGATTCTGATCGCGCCAGGAGCCCATCACCCGCGCCGTGTAAATCTCCACTCACATTGGATATGACCAGATCCATAGGAAGTTCTGGACGTGCTTCAGCACCTGCTTCACCTACCTTCCCCCTTAAAACGGCGGAGTCACATACAACAGCAGACCACTTCCCACGCTCTCCAAATGCACCACCAGAACAGGAACAGATGAGCTATTTGGAGAAGGCCATTGTCCAACCATCAATAGAGCGGAAACTAAGCACGCCAATCTTTCCTAAATCGCCAGTGTCCATACAAATAACACAGCCTAGTCCGGGAAAGGATGAACAACTAAACGATACCATGCCCATGTCATTCACCTCCTCACAGGGTGGAAGCCCTGCACCAAGTGTGCTGTTGAATGGCACTTTTGACGGAGAACCTGGTGCACGCGCCGAGTTTGTAGGTGGTGTTATACTCCATGCAGATGCTAGCAGTTTGGAGCGTCACACTAGTCCAGTTGAGGGTGTGCTAATCTCTGCTGCAAAAAATTCAGAGCAACGCACATTTAACACGAACGCTTCGGAAGAACAGAGCAGACGCACATTTAGCCTGTCCGAGGAACAAAATCATTCTCGTCGCACTTTCAACTTAACAACAGATTCAACTGAGAATGTCCCACTCCACCCTGATACGAAGCAAGAGGGGCAGGAACAGTGCCGCCGCACATTCAATCTTAGCGGAGAGGAGGATCATGCACGGCGCACTTTTTCACTTCCCACCGCATCGGATGAATTGGAACAGATGGCATCACCCGCTTTTGAGGCCACCGAGGAAACAGTTGGCAATGAGGACTTTGAACCCATGGACGTAGATGTTTCATTCCGGGCACAGATAACGGCACCAACGACATCGGTCTCTCCACCCATACCCACACATCAGGCAAAAAAGGGTCTGACAATGTCAGAATATCCCGAAACTCAAGCTGTCTCCCCACCGTTGCCAACGCATCAGCGAAAGGAGCCACAATTATCACCTCCCTTGCCGACCTTGCTGAAACGCCCAACCATCGAGGTTGTGCAGAATTCGCCAACAGGTGCCAATGTCACCGTCGTCCTGGACGAGCAAATGCTTTCGGCCAAAGAGCAGGCAACATTGAGTGCCAGTGATGAGAAAGATGATGTTTTCGTGGAGCACTTTGGAGCTCTCTCACCAGTAACGGATGATATCTTCAAGGCCCCGCAATACACAAGCAGTACCTTCGCCAGCATGACTGCAGCAGCGGCCAAAGCGGCGAATAACGAAGGTAGCGCGCAAGAGGAGCAGTTCCTGGACGGGGCCTCAAACAGCAACTGTAAGTTTAAAGTAATCTAGCACTCTAATTAATGCACTGCATGAATATCACACAAGAGAATGAATTGTTCCCATCACAACCCCCTTGTATCCTGAAACGTTAATTGAGTTAAACGATCGAATTATTCGGTTTCAAAAGTTGTTCACTTTGTTCCTCTTTCGAAATAATTGAATTATTTGGTTTTAAAAGTCAATCAAAAGCTATTCTCATTTTCGCAACTTTCGGATTATTATTCTTTTACCCAGTAGATATTTTGATTCAATTTGGAGTTAAACGCAGTTAGTGGAGTTAAACGATCAAATTATTCGGTTTCAAAAGTTGTTCACTTTGGTCCTCTTTCCAAAATAATTGAATTATTTAGTTTTAAAAGTCAATCAAAAGCTATTCGCATTTTCGTTACTTTGGGATAATTATTATTTTACCTAGTAAATATTTTGATTCAATTTTACAAATTTGCTTTTCCACATCGCATAAACGTAGTGAATAGTCTAGTTGTGACTACAACGTTGTATGTCTTCGTGGCTTACAGAACGCCCCATAGCTTGGGCTTTTGAACTTGAAATATGCACCATATCCTCCATATCCCTTCGTGCCCTTGCATGCTCCTTTGTCACGATAACAGCAGAGCAGTCGATGCTATTAAAACTAACGGTAAAAATAAATCACCACATGCAAGGCATTGAACCTGAACTTCATGCACGCCAGCCAAAACAGCACAGGAAGACCCGGAACAACAACAAAAACGACAAACCCCGCCACATCAATTAAGCGCATAATTTGACTGTCGGCTGCCAGCTGTACGTCCTATGCTATTGTTGTTGTCGTTTTGGAGTAACACTGCGTTTTTATTTTCAATGCAATGTTCACACTCCCTACCTCCCCTTCACTATGCACTCTCTTTGGTTTGCCCGCATTTTTATGCTGCCGTATGAAAATGCCGCATTGCTGACCCCCAGGCCTCCTCCTTACCCTCTTCTACCACACCCACACCCGTACACATAAACGCATACAACCAAAGATATTGGCTGGATGTTTTCATATTGTATGCTCAATACCTTTGTCGCTCTCTAGGCTCTCGGGCTCTCCAGTGGCTGTGCTCTCTATTATATGTATGTGTGAATGTAGTTGAACCCTTATCAGCTTTCGCCTATGCGGTAATCGGTAGTAGACACATGGTCAGTGACGTCAGATTAGCTAATTAATGAACATTTTCTGACTTTTGCTGTTGTTTATTAATTTGTGTCTGTGACCGTGAATGAGTTGCTTGTTTGCATGCTTCCCTGATGAGCGCATTTATATTTTTTTTGACTAATTACTTTTTGGGCGTAGTTTTCGTCTGCCATAATTAAATTTAGCTACTTGGTCGCTTACTCGCAACAAATTTAATTTATTGTCATTTTAGTAAACATTTTAATTTTTGTTTTAAATTTGTGTTGGCGGCTCTTTTATCGTTATCGCCAATGCAGCCCTGGCCAACGAGTGGAGCAGACAGCAAATAGTCTCCAATTTCTAGCGGAGCTCGTGCTCTCTCACACGTCATTCATAGAACTCATCAGGTTTATACAGTGAATCGTAGGCATACATGGTATTCTTATAAAACCGTTAATATTACGAGTATTTTGCTTACATTTTTGTAGGGCAGCGTAAATAAAAAACTTCAATATTAAATTATTAAATATAAATGAAATTCTGGTTCAAATGAATTTCATTTGGTATTCGCTGTTATCATAATGTTCACTGTAGTCTGCCGCAAGTTCTCTCTTTCACACATACACCCATATTTTTGTTGAGCATAGGAATCTCCACGCATATAGTACAACAAAACCTCCAATGCATTTTTACTTACAACGCCGCTGCACTCGCACTAGCGGAGCACTAACAAAACATTAAATAGTGTACACAAGGTACCACAGTCTCTCTCACTGGCATAGACGTAACGGCGCTCACACACACATGCGCATTTAACAGCAGTTGGCGCTCAGAGAGACAAATGGGGCGCACTTGCTCGCTTGGCTTGCATACGCGTCACTGTCACTCCAGCAAAGAATCTGACTTGACTCGTGCGGCTGCTTCTTCTCCCCATTTACTACAAATTTTGTTGTTGCGCGAGTGTTTGTGTGTGCGTGCGCTGGTTTTCTTATTGGAAACGGAGAAAAGTAAGAAATTCAATTCAGTTAGTTTTCAACTCTTGACGTTGTCGCTTTGCTATTGTTTGCGACGCGCTGACGTCGTTATCTCTACGTCGTGGTTGTTGTTATTGTCATCGTCATCGTTTCTGCCTTTGACAAGAACGGAGAAAAGTTCTTAACGTGAAAATGTAATTGAAAATCTAATGATAATTCATAATTTTTATTATATGCCAACAACATGCAAATGTTCATTATGTTTTTCTTGTGGAGAAGTTCTTGAAAAGAGCTAAAATAAAAAGCATCTGTGAACAACTCAAAAGTTACAGTCGATAAAAACGTAGGCAAAAAAGCATAAATAAAACTACAAGACATTGAAGAAAAAAAGTTGTATATTATTCACACACACAGACACACAATCGCAATGAGCGAGAGCTCCAACTTTATTGTCTGTTTTTTTGTTTGTCTGTGTATGTGCGTGTGTGGGCGCACTGCGTGTCTGTTAACTTTGTGTTAATAACTGTAGAAATGTTTGAAAAATTCAAAAATTGTCAAAATGGCATGCAATAAAAAGTGACTTGGTGTGAAAAGTTTTTAAACATGGTTAAGAAAAAAAGGCAACTTATTGCGCGCGCGGCATTGCACTCTCCATATTTAGCTCTCACTCTCTCGTCCTCTCCCTCTCTCTCGGGGCTTTGTCACATTACGCGCAGCGTCAATACGCCAGTCAATATGTCAATTAGTTCAATCAGCAACCAACCCACTTCTTGGCCCGATTGCATAAAATGAGTCACAAGTCGGCATTGCGCTTGAGGTTGGCTTTGTTTTTGTTTCACATTCAAATTTATCGTAAAACATTTTTCATGCTGCACTTGAGTGACCCGCTTCGAGAGTATATGCTGACTATCCCTGTGTCTATGTGTGTGTGTGTGTGTTTATGTAGGCCTGCCCAGGTTTTTGTTTTTACTATTTTTAAAGCCCACATTCTGCTTCTGAGGAGCATTTATTGTTTAAAAAGCGGCTTTTGCAACATTTAGGGGGCGCCACCTGCGTGTGCCACCGCACAACCACTGCAACCTCAGAGCAGCCCCCCTACCACACATACACCTCATTCTGTCATCGCTCCATGATGGCCATAGTTTAGGGCTCTTTTGAGTCATGCGTCTTATTTTAATGTTGGTTGGTGTTGTCTTCTTCCTTCCGCTTTTTGTTTTCACAGAATAAAACAGAGCGAATCATTTACACGCACACACATTCATTCATTTTCGTCGTATGTCTGTTCGGGGCGTTTCATATGGATTATATACGCTGCCGATAGCAGGGAATGCCTCTCAATGCATTCGTCACATTACAAATTCCTACATTTTTAAAATAAAAAAAATCATAAAGAAAAGTAGATAATTCACAAATTGTTTATCATATTGAATAAAGGCCTTTGAGAGACATTCTATTATCATTTGCCGATTGAAGCTTTTCTTGCATAGATCCCATATATATTGTGTAAGACATTCCATTATCACTGTAATTTACGGAGTCTCACAAGATTTTATAGCATATTTATATATTTTCAAACATTTAGAAAACTATACATTTTGATTTATTTGATGCGTTTAGCACAGATCATGAAATATCGCGAATGTTTTTAAATAGTTGTTGATCAAAATCTCGTCACTATAGTGATCTGTCTCTGGACATCTTTTAACCCATTTTTTTCAAATATCAAAGAGGTTTTCATAAGCAATCGCAATTCATAATGCTTAGTATAATTCATTAACTTCTTATCGAGCTAGCTTGTAGAGCACCAGCAAGTCCGTGTTGCCGACATCTGCTTCAAGTTTGTCATGCGCTTACGTTGCTTTATTTTTGCCTTTATCTATGGCCCACCACTATATTTGTCTACTAGCGTCATTAAATGTGCAAAATTGAAAAGTCTCTGTATATTGCGGCTTAAATTGACCATAACTCTTGCCAATTGCTTGGCAAGGTGCCCTTCTATACATAAATTGCCGATGGCAGTGATATATGAAATTGTTATTGAACTTGGACGGCATCTGGCAGGTGTCAGCTAAAGTTAAATCAGAGAGGAAGAAAGAAGGTCTTTAAAACGTACGATGTGACTAACTTGTGTATATTTTTTCTCTTTTTTCGATTTCACCAACAAAAAACAATGCACGCGCATGTAACTCACACTCATAAAAACATTCAAACACTCAACACACTCACAACCACAACAACCCACGCACCCAAAACTCTGGCACTCGCAGTAATATTCAATTCATCCGATCTCGAATATCTGTACACAAAAGGCAGTCACAATGGACCCGTGGATCGGAGCTCATTGCTGTTAAAGTTTGATCCGCTGCTTGGTACACCCGTACCTGCGAATCCGCAGCTTAATTTACTGGGTTTCAATTACAACAACAATAACAACTTACGTGCCCTCAGCCCCACAATTGAGGAACACGAGTCAAGCGGCAGTAATCAATCGTTTGTCATCGAACAGCCAGAGTATAGTGCCAAAAAAGCAAAGGATTTTGAATTCAAGCCGCCAGTGGACAGAACAAAAGTAAGTAATGCTTGAGTAACATTGATCTAAAGTCGTTTTTTTTTCTTTCTATGAAATGTGAATACTTAAGAATTATTTTCGAATGAGTTAAAAACAATAGAAATCGATCTGCCTGTACCTCCATCGATTTTCTGCTTAATTCTAACACCCAGCTTAAAAACGTTGTCTTATTGAGTGTTTAATGCTGGCCCTCAAAACGAACATATTGTACGAGTGTACACAAAATAAAAGATAAAGTTACAAACTTTTGAATTGTTAAATATTATTTAAAAATATTTTTCTTTTATTAAACAACTTTCCATTAAAGGAAACATTAAGGAAAATTAATGCAAAAGTAAAGCATGTGTAGAGCTGTCAGAAGACAAATAACTTAAATTATAGTATATTTAGCTATTGCTGAATTTGGCGATCCCCTTAGAAATCGGAAGAAAGATTTTAAGTTTGTAAGTAAAAAATATTTAATGAATGAGCTTTTAAAGTTCATCAGGATAGCGACGCTTTTGCGCCTCGAAGGAGAACCGCGGGCCTACTTAGGTTGAGGGTTTATATTCATTGCTGAGTTCGGAGACTTCCTCTTGAGCAAAAAGAATGAAGTCGTTATTTTTCATAATCATCAGTGTTGTCCAAATCCACAGTCTCACTTAGTGTTCTCTGGTTATTAAATATGCATTTTTCCCCCAGCAGTCTTATTTCCGTTAAACTACTTAATTCATTATCTAGTATCCCTTCTTTTTATGCACATTTTCATTTCTTACTAACTATTCCCCGTTTGCTCTTTCCGCAGAAGCATGCTAAAATGAGTGTCGAAGTGATTGGTAACGATTGTAACAAAACCTTCGATAATCCCAAGTGAGTACAAATAAATACATTTAAGTAAGGTGCGAATTCTAATTGATTATTTAATAATTATCCATTAACAGCCTAAACACAGAAGACAAGGCCAACAACTATCATAACATGGATGAATTGGAAAAGAAAATCAAAAATGAAGTGTAAGTATCAATTCTTGAAACATTTTTTAAAATTAAATGTAAACCCTCCTTATACAGCACCAAATCGGAGGATATAGAAAAGAAACTGAAAGAGGCAGAACAGCGTGAAGAGGCGCTCATCAAACGTATAACAGAAAAGGATAAAACTAATGCAAAACTCAAGTAAGTCGCCTTGCTGGATTTATAAGTGGTACGAATGATATAAAAGTAATTTTTTCTAATAAACAGCGGCGTTATCGAAGCGTATGAGAAAGCCATTGCGGAACTTATCAACGAAAAAGAGAAACTGGTACAAACCTATGAGAGGCAATTAATGGAGGTACAGACAGATCGTGATTCCAATTATCATCACTTAACGTCGCTGGAAACGACATTCTCTGATCTGCACGTGTAAGTCAACATTTTAAGATGCTCTGTGGCATTATCTAATCTAATAACCTCTATATTCTGCACATTGCAGCAAATATGAGAAGAGCAAAGAGATGACTTCACAACTCAAACAAATCGAGGAGAATTTGCTGACGGAGAAGAAACAAACTATGGAGAATTTGCGACTGCAGGAGCAGCGCTATGAAAAAATGAAAAGTCATGCCATGCAACAGTTGGAAATGTAAGTGATTTGATGGTGGGAATAAAAAAAGAAACAACACGTAGTAACTCAACTGAAAAATGTTTCTTTTAGTGCCAACAAAAAGCTGGATACCATTACAAAAGAGCATGCGGATGAGGTGAAAAAACTAAAAGCTTTACTCAAAAAGGAGGAGGTCTCACGGGTCTCCATTGCCGAGCAGTTGCAACAGAAATCGCGCGAGAATGCGGATTTGGTTAAAATATGCGAGGAACTCATTTATGGCAAAGGACAAGGTGGTAGTAGTTAAAATGTGCAGCCCTTTAAATGTTGGGAATCATGCTGATATGGAATGTTTTGTACGTTGCTGTAAACGCGCACATGCATACCTACACTCACACAAATACACACACACACTATCCCCATACCCTCATTTGGCATGCAAATTGGAGCGCACTTCGTAGCATGAATTGATTCATACAAACAAACAAAACATAAATGAAACACTCACTCACACTCGAATTGATCATTTGCGCGCGTTATCATCTTATTATAATTCGTAATTTGTTGTGTGATCTGCATAAAAAAAGTGAATATATATATTATATACCTTTGTAGTTATTAATTAATCGATCAATGTTCTTTTCGTGTGTATTAATAACGCCCAACAATCCATTTATTATATATATACAAATATATTATACTATTTCTAGATTTTTAGTTGCCGTCTTGTAGTTTACCGTTAATTTGTATTAACTACCAGTACCACCCGCCTTCTCCAAAACACACATAACACACCCAAGCTACTCACACAGACATATGCACACCGGCCGCCCAATAGAAGATGTGTGATGAGTCGCGATATGGTGATGAGCAGCAAATGCGTTCCACATGCGTTTGCGAATACAATAATTTATTTTAAACAAATTGTAAAAACTTTGCGAATCGTTATATCTCTCCTTTATATACATGCATACATAAATGTTCTGTCGAATCTATTTCTATGTTTTCAACACGCCCATTTCAAATGATATTAAAGTGCTGCGCATTTTTTGCTTAAAAATTCTTGGCAATTTTTCTGTCAAAATGTAGACAGCGGCGTAAACAACAAAAATCCATAAAAATATTGTTTGTTCTTTGTATTTGATGCAACCCCCATTTAAAATGAGATAAGAAAAACAGCGCACGAACGCGAGCGCCTTTACTAAATATCTAAGTTACAAATTTAGTTTAATATAAATTAATATCTTTTAATAGTTGTATTAAGCATAATTCTTACCACTTAATTATGTATTAGTACTAAAAAGAAACAACAAAAAACAAACTGAAAACCAACACAAGCGTAAAAAACAAATTGCGAATCATTAAAATCACAACAAAAACAAAAAGCATATATGCATTAAAACAAGAAATGTGTATTTATTTTCAATTTGCAACAGCTTATCGAATTTTATTTTGCAACGCACTAGAAATGAATGAATGCCTTAAAAAGAATTGTTAAAAAACCGTTAGAAGCGCCATTTACAGTTACATTAAACACGACACTTTTGAGCACTTAACTACAAAGCTTTGTAGAAATGCAATAAACCCCTTGCCCACATTAGCGTAGCTTTTGAGTAGGGCGTTTTTTGATTTGTTTACCTTCTTGAGAACTCTACAAAAACTTTACTTCCATTAAGTAATTGACTATAAGAAAAACCATGCAATAATAAAGCATAATGAAAATAAATTGTTGAAAGTGAGTTAAAAAACAATTTGGAATGCGAATGAAAACGGTGAAGCGGTGTCACACAAAAAAATTGTATACAAATTTGTACCCAGTCCATGTATAATCAGAAATTATATACATACATAACAACTACTATATATACGACATACACATATATATTTTTCTAAAAATGAGGCTACCCCCAGGTATATATACATATACGTACATACGAGCAGAGGCGCTTTTTAATGATGACTATAATTATGAGAAAAGGGGGAGTTGGATATATCAAATGCGCTGTAAAAACAACACATAAATAGTATTAAAGCCTGCATACATATTGAATACAAATACTCAAAAGACAATTCGATTTCCCATGTGGATAATGTATGTAAAGGTGATGAAAAAGTTGCATAATTAAACAAATAAATATGAACTTGTAAACCAAAATATTGAATTAATGCTTTCACTCATTTCCACTCTGAGCGTCTTCTAGCTAAGTGTACAGCGATAATCGCAGTTGGCGATTAATTTAAGTACACAAAAGACAATTTGATTTTCGCATATGGATGATGAGAGAGTTTGCATAATAAATAAACATAAAATGGAAAAAATGCATTCAACTCATTTCAAATGAAAGCATCTTCTACAAGGTTCAGGGCTGCGGTATTTGCTGCAAACAGCAGTTGACGTCAAAGTGGCAACGCCGCGCACAGCTGTGTCGCGATCTTTGTTATCAAAACGTACATATATATGAAAAACAAAGCATCTCCAGCAGTTGCGCATTAATAATCTTGCAGCTCCCAAACAAAGTGGGCACTTACGCAATCACTACCCCCCACCAACTAATAAAAAAGGGCCATGAACTTTGCTGGCAAAGTGGTGCTTATCACCGGCGCTTCCTCAGGTATTGGAGCGGCAACTGCAATCAAATTTGCCAAATACGGTGCCTGTTTGGCTCTCAACGGACGCAATGTAGAGAATCTGAAGAAGGTGGCAGCCCAGTGTGGTGAAGCCGGCAGTTCACCTGCTCTGGTGGTTGGCGATGTGAGCAAGGAGGCGGACACAGCACGCATATGGAGCGAAACGCTGGACAAATATGGTAAACTGGATGTGCTGGTAAACAATGCAGGCATCATTGAGACGGGCAGCATTGAGAATACCAGTCTAGAGCAATACGATCGCGTTATGGCAACCAATTTGCGTTCCATTTATCAGCTAACAATGCTCGCCACTCCAGAGCTGGTGAAGAGCAAAGGCAACATTGTGAATGTGTCCAGTGTGAATGGCATTCGTTCCTTTCCCGGCGTGCTCGCCTACAACATTTCCAAAATGGGCGTGGATCAATTAACTCGTTGCGTGGCTTTAGAATTGGCCGCCAAGGGTGTGCGTGCCAATTGCGTAAATCCTGGCGTTACAGTCACAAATCTGCATACACGCGGCGGTATGGATGCGGAAACGTACAAAAAATTCTTGGAGCACTCGAAGACGACACATGCTCTTGGGAGGCCCGGCACTGTGGATGAGGTAGCCAATGCCATAACCTTCTTGGCCAGTGATTTAGCCTCCTTCACCACTGGACTCAGTTTGGCCGTCGACGGTGGTCGCCATGCGATGTGCCCACGATAAGGTAGTAACTATATCTACAAACAAAACTGCATTTATTTGGTGTTAATGGGATTCGAGGAATAAAATTGACATCCATTTGTTTCACATCTAAATAGTACCGAAATTTTATTCTGTGTGTTTATATAAATGGGACAAATGAACTAATATGGACACATGACTTGCTTGCCGCCATCCACTGGCATGGTTACGCCGGTGATGAAGCTGGCCAATGGGCTAGCCAGAAAACAAATGCATGAGGCCACCTCTTCGGGCTCACCCACACGACAAAGGGCGTGTGTCGTCTTGGAGCGTTCCATCAACTCTTTATATTGCTCTTCACCCATGCCGCCAGTTCGCAGGAGATTGGTGCGTATAACGCCGGGATTGACGGCATTTACGCGTATACCCTGCGGTCCCAAGTCAAGTGCTAGTGAGCGCGTAAAATGATCTACCGCAGCCTTAGACATGTTGTAGGCCACGAGATTTGGAAACGCCCGTATACCACATACACTGGAGACGTTCACAATACAGCCGCAACAGCTGATTATTTCTGGGAGCAGCTGCTGCGTTAAATAAAACATCGAACGCACATTGGCATCGAACACAAGATCGAGGCAATCCAGACTGGTCTTCTCTAACGTAGACATGGGCATAATGCCGGCTCCATTGACCAGCACATCGCAGCAACCGAAACGCGCACGAATTTTCTTGGCAGCACACTCAATCTCCTCAGTCTTCAACAGATCGGCGGAAAGGGCATATGGCTCATACCCTATATCGAAGCAATCCTTCATCACGTTCAGCAGCCGTTTCTCGTCGCGATCGATTAAAGCCACGCATGCGCCCAATTGGGAGAACATCCTGGCCGTCGCGGCACCAATTCCGGAGGAGGCGCCCGTTATGGCAACCACTCGACCGGTAAAGTCTAAGGCTAATTTGCCTTTGCCCATTCTAAATTTTGCATACCAAGAACTAGAAAACTGAAATACAGGTTGTTTTATAAATTAAAGAGTTTTCTAGACAACTACAAACTACTGCCAACTACAAATTTAAATATTATGAAAATATTTTGATGACATAGATAACCCATGTAACAGATTTTATACACATACTATTATTATATGCAATCAAAAACGGAAACAGTATTTATTAAAGAATTGTATTCTATGTGGGGGCATTCTTTTAGTTCATTGGCAACAACTAATTATAGTTAGGGTATTAACTAATTCTTTGTAAAAGTTCTAACACGAATAACAAATATTAAATTAAATGCTCACATCGGTTAGCCATTGCAAATTCTGGCCGTGAATTAAAAATTAATATTTATTAATAAAAAATAAAAATATAATAATTTTGTACCTTTGTCTGTTCTAAATGCGGAATCGATTTATTAAAATTACTGCATTTTATTTATTTTATAATTTTAAGCCTGCTTTTAAATGTCGCGCGCAGTTCGTTCAGTTGGAAACGGCTTGCCAGACTACTCTTTCATTCGTTCTTATCGTTACGTGTGCGTTAATAGCAGCTTAGTGTTGCCGAAATAGTTATATTGAAACTTTTTGGTGTGGCCTTAGTGCTCCAATAGAGCTTATGTTAATTGGCAACGCCGCTTATGTTTTTCGTGAGTTGGCGGCACATTGTTTGCTTTATTTTTCTGTGATTTTTTAAAATAATGGACTTTTTCTGTTGCAACAGCCAAATGGAATCGATCTGAATTCCATGCACTGAAATAATATATTATGGCTCTAATAGAACTGCCAAGGACATTCCGCAGAGTCAAATATTAGACGACGCCATATGTAAACAGAAAGAGACTTGTCCAAAATTTGTAGCCTTAAATTGAAATCATGCAGTCAAGGAGTGAATCAAGAGAACGACGAAGAAAGCCTCAAAATGAAAATATAAGAGATAAAATTCGTTGGAAAAATATTTGAGTTAAATAGTCGTTATTAATAGGACATTCGATATGGTCTGTTTCAACAATTTCAAAAACCAAACAACTAAGATCGGTTGTAAGTATACGTATGTGTGTACGCATTACTCAACGTTTATTTTGCATTGTATATAAAAAATATATAAACTTCCACATTTTTTCAGCCGGGTTGCTCATCGTGGGCACATTGCATGCCGACCGCCATCAACGGGAAGGCTGACGCCGGTAATAAAGCTTGACGCATCGCTAGCCAAGAAGGCAATGGCCGCTGCTACCTCCTGCACCTCTCCTGGACGGCCCAAGGCATGTGTCTCCTTGGCACGCTTCATGAAATTCTGATATGCCACCTCATCAAGACCGCCCCGTCGCTGCAACTCCGTGATAATCACACCGGGATTGACGGCATTTACACGCACGCCCTTCGGGGCCAGTTCAAGGGCAACACAGCGAGTGAACTGATCCACTGCCGCCTTGGACACATTGTAGGCCAGAACGCCGGGAAATGAACGGATGCCATTCACACTGGAAATATTTACAATGTTGCCCTTGGTCTTCACCAGCTCCGGTGTGGCCAACATTGTGAGCTGATAGACGGCACGCACATTGGTGTTCATCACATGATCGTATTGCTCCAAGCTGGTGTTCTCTATGCTACCCAACTCCAAAATGCCGGCATTATTTACCAGAACATCGATGCGACCGTATTTGGCCAACGTGGCGGACACGATTTGCTCCACCTCCGCATCCTTGTTCATGTCCACCTGCAGTTGCAATGGCGCCGTTCCTCCAGCAGCAATAATTTTGTCCGCAGTTTCCTTCAGTCTCGCCGCATTGCGTCCCACAATGACGAGTAGGCCGCCCAAGTTGGCCAAATGTGTAGCGGCTGCAGCACCAATTCCCGAGCTGGCGCCCGTTACAATTATTACCTTATCTTTGAAGTTGCTTGCGGACATGTTCTTGCTATTGCGATTGTGAAATTCAGACTGAATGGATAGCGCTTGATAGCAGCGACAAGTGTCGATAAGAACAGCTGTTGGTGAACTAGATTTGTCTCTTTTTCCTGTTTTTCAAATTAACGCTTAATTACCTTAGGCTGTGAAATGCCCGAATTGAGTCGGCTGTATATTGCTTATTATATTTGTTCTATTTCATGTATAAAAATCCTAAAAATGTATTTTATAAATTTAATGTTTTTGGCTAAGCTTTTTGTAGATTTAATTTGTTTTGTTTGTTGCTCTGTTTTTATTTAATTATAAGTACTTTTGTTTGCAATAACGAAATTATAATTCTAAGAGTAAGAGTAAACCCAGTTTACTTCTTTATACCTGGCAATTTATTTACCTTTCAATTTTAATAAAAGCTCAGCCAGACACTTATCTAACATTCGATATTAAAAAAAGCTCGGCTCAGAGCATAAAATCAAGGTCATATCAGCTTGTTAGATTTCTATATAACGCTTTTGTTGGCTCATACCCAACCTTTAAATAAAAACTTTAATATCCACTTTTTACAATTCGTTTATTAATTTTATTAAATGCATTGAAGCGATTGATATGTACATGGATACATATGTATATAAATATATGCCTAACGCGGACACATGGCATGGCGACCACCATCCACGGGCAAATTGACGCCGGTGGTGAAGCTAGCTGCTTCGCTGGCTAGATAGGCAATGGCCGAAGCTACTTCCAGCACATCTCCGGGTCGTCCCAAGGCGTGGGTTGACTTGCAGTGTTGAAGGAACTTGTTATAAGTTTCCTCATCCATGCCACCACGCTTGTGTATTTCAGTGACAATCACGCCCGGATTAACCGAATTGGCGCGTACACCCTTTGGGGCCAACTCTAGAGCGATACAACGGGTGAACTGGTCTACAGCCGCCTTGGATACATTGTAGGCAAGCACGCCTGGAAATGCGCGCAGGCCACAAACGCTGGACACATTCACAATGCTGCCCTTCGTCTTGATCAATTCCGGTGTGGCCAGCATCGTTAGCTGATAGATGGAACGCACATTGGTAAGCATTAACCGATCGTATTGGGATAATTCCGTAGTCTCAATCGAGCCCGTCTCCAGAATGCCAGCATTATTGACCAGTATATTTATCTTTCCGAACTTTTCCAATGTGGCCGGCACAATCTTAGCAACGTCGGACTCCTGTGTCATGTCCGCCTGTATCTGCAATGGCTGTTCTCCTCCAGCTTCGACAATTTTATCAGCAGTTTGCTGCAAATTATCCGCATTGCGTCCTACTATGACGAGTTGACCCCCTAAGCCAGCCATGTGAATGGCAGCACCTGCACCGATGCCCGAACTAGCGCCCGTAATAATTATAACCTTGTCCTTGAAGTCCGTCGCCATTATCGCTTATGAATATTGCTTTTCTCGATCATAAAGTAATTCAGTCTCACAGCTGATTTTGTAAAAAAAAATTGCAATGTCAAACGACATGACAACTCTAAAGGCTTGGGCCTTTAAATGCTTGTTTTTGATCAGCTGTTGAACGTCGTTGTAAATAATTTTTCGAATTGCAATCGACTTCGCATTGATCGCCAACAAATTTTGATACGATTTGTAGAAACTTTCAAACAGTACCCACTTGGAATGCCTGGCTTGTTATTCACTAGGTGATTCCAAAATATATACGTATGCTAAACGATTCCCAGTCATTAATAAATTGATTCTAAACAGCCCATAGCATTACTTGGCCCTTATAAAAATCCACATTGATACGGACGGGCCTTAAAGCCCACAACACAAATTCATTGAAATTACTTAGTTGTTGATTTATTCTTTAAAAAACCGATACGTCTTTGCACGTAAACTTTGCTGCAGAGTTTTGTAGGTATAAGTTTGCGCTTAAACTTCGTAGCCGTACGACCTAATAATCTTGTTGAACGGCTCGGCCGCCTTGGCGATGTTCTCGCGTGCCTGTACCGTCAGTTTCTTCATCTGTCTGTTGTGCTTCAGGGTGACGCCCAACTTGGCCTTACGCTTACGCTCCAGGCTCTTGATAACATCCTGGTAGTGCCAGCCAACCTCGTGCGAGAGACGTCCAACCTGGCAGTATTTGCGATCGGAGCGCAGGGTGAGCACACGCAGAGCGATAGGCACAACGACGCGACGACGCTTGTCATAGGGCGATGGGATGCCATCGAAGACACGCAGACGAGCGAGAGCCTTCTGACCACGCTTGGTTTTGTGTGGGATCATGCCTGAAATTGATGCGAATTAGTTACAGTCCATATAGGGGAACACAGCAATAATGTTTGAGATTGCGCTTAGCAGTCAGTTTAAGGTTGGTTACACGATTTCACATTCAAATAATGTAGGTAAGAAAATTGTAATCATCAGGAGAAATTTAAGCGCTTCTCGTATAGACATTCAACATACCTGTAAAAAAGAAAAGGGCATTATTAGTTGTATATTCTTGAGTGAATATTGCTATTTGAATTATAGGAACTCAGTTCTGTATTGTTTACATGGTTTACAGCTTCAAATAATGTAGGTAAATAGTTTTGAACATCATGGTAAATAAAAACAACAAATTCGTCAACTATGACAAAAATACGCACCTCGTACAGCCTTGTAGAAGATTCTGGATGGGGCACGGAAATGGAAAGGACCACGAGCTGGATTCACATTGCAACGTTTGCGCAAGTAAGCCAAGTACTTGATTTTATTTCTATAGAAGTGACCCGACAGGTTCAGCTCCTCACATCGCACCACGGCGACTTTACCGCCTTGCAGCAGGTACTTGGCGACAACGGAAGCTAGACGGCCAAGCAAGTGGCCGCGACCATCAATAACAACGGCCTGTAATAGAAAAGAAAACAATTGAATAGTAGCAATGCATTGTGGAATTGAGGTTATGTTACATTGGCAGCTTCGCCGCGTAAACAAATGTATGTAGTAGGTTTTACAAACAATTTGAAGCTCTACACAGGAACATTCAATTTGTTCATTCACAAAATTCGCACTAAAGACCCTTTCATTTGACAATCACTTGTTTGCGCGTTTCCCTGTCAGCCTTGGTGTACATTGTGGGCACGTGTACAACTACATATTTTTGAGTGCTAAAATAGACGTATTTCAGTCGAATTTTTTATGCACAATGCACTTCACTTGTTAGCCAATTCTTTAGTTAGCATTTTGCACACATTTGTTGTATGAGACGAATGCGGTAAAATCCATTTCTTTGTAAAAAATCTCCACTTACCCTGTTCGTTAAACCAGTCATGTTTAAGAACCGCACGGAAAGAAAGCGGAAACCGCTTTGACAGCTCAAGCGTCAGACGGCAGGGTTGCTTTGACAACCATGCATCGGGCTCGAAGCTGAATGCTATGTTATTTGAAATGCAACATTTAGCATCGAAGCATCGATACCCAAGATGCATTAGTCTAATTGGAACAGTCTGCATCGAACTTTAAGCCGCAGCATTTCGTTCGCGTGTTCGCCGCAAAAAAATAAGTAAATACAAACAAATATTGCAATATTTATGTCGGCTACAGTGGAAATGTGTTTTCGGCGGCGTGTTTGTGCAAAAAGTGTGTTAAGTTCACAAGCCTAAAATAAAGCATTCGAAATTCCCCCACTTCCCCCAATTACGTGCTATACACTGCCACCCTAATAATAAACAAAACAACCACAAAATATAATACCAATAACAACAAGAAAGCATTTGGGTGCTCCAGCAGCGTGCGGGGCGGCATACAAAAAAAATTTAGTGGAGATCGGCGGGCGGCACTCGACAGGAAAGAGTAAACACCTTATAAGGTAAGTCTTATTTGAATATGGAGGGCACATACATATGTACATATAATACATACATACATGCATGTGGATATGTTTGTATTGAAATGTATTTATATATGCGTGTGTTTCGGCTTTTCTTACTTAGTTATATGATAGTTCACATGTTCGCCTTACGCATATTAATTATTTTTCATTCTTCCTATTTAATTTAATGCAATTCGCTTGCTCTTCTGTGCCGTATGTGTGACATTGTACTGCACATGTGGGCGCATTTTGATTAAATGTGTGTGTGTGTGTTGCCTGCTTGTCTCTTTGCCTTTCCTTTTTCACTATATTCTCAGCGAATTCGGCAATGCAAGTTTTTTGTGGTCATCTTAAGCTGTTGCTAATTTTTAAATTGGGTCAACATATGTACATACGTCGATTGGCTCCGTTTTTTTATGTACATACATATATACATATGCATGAACGTTCTCATAAATTTTGGCTGTTGTTGTTGCCGAACCAGTTTGTTGACCTTGTTTCCTGCAGTCGTCCGCAAAAATAAAAACCTCGAACCAAGTGCAATGTCTGAATATTCGCTTTTCGACAATTTGTTCTACTTTTGGTTGTGTGTGTGCGTGTTTGTGTCATTTATTGCTACAGACAATTTATTAGAAACTTCACATTTCTGAAGAAATAGCCCGCATAACAAATATGTATGTGGTCTTATTAATTAAGCAAGCTAGTAACACAAAAGAAAAATGTGTGTATATTTTTTATCACAATCTCAACACTCCTTGTTGGCACTTCCGTCACGGCGACAACAATGGAAAGTGATATCTGTCGCTATGCATGTGTGTGTGTGTGTTTTAAAAAGGTTGTTCCTATTGATTTAATTTTACTTTCATAGGCGTGTTACCGTGTATACACAATTCCTATAGGATTTGAATCGGTTTATTAATGCCTATTGGGTTCGATGGCATGTAAACAAATAAACAGCTGTTTAAAGTGATCCAAATAGTGCTGGTAAACGCCGAGTGTATGTTTTGTGCACGCCGTTCGCAATTGTTAAAACATTATTTATTTCATGCAAAATATTCCAAGATATCTCTAAACTCTTGCCCAAACATGTGGCATAAACTTATCAAATATACAAAACGCGTAGCCATAGTCGTAAAATAGAAATTTATGTAATTCTGTGTGTGTTACGAGCGTGCCTAGCTGTTTTGGTCACGCAGGAGTAGCCGGTTAAAATATGTATGTGAAATATTCATAAAACAGACATTAATTCTCATCAACGACCGCACCCCTTTCTAATGTAAGTATTAATATTTTAATATATACATGTGTGAGTGTTTATTTGTGTGGTTTTTTTTGTTGCTCTTGCAGGCACCAAATTAAAATTCGTGTTCGCAAATTATGAGAAACTTCTACGAATTGCTCAATGCGCCAGCAACGGCAACTTTTGATGAACTAAAACGAAATTATAAGAATTTAATTCTACAATGTCATCCCGATAAATTACAACAACATGGACAGAAGGAGGAACGGGTATCAACGGCACCATCAATAGCTGTAAATACGAGTGACCCAAATTTAGAAAGCAGTATCAGCAGTCTCAGCAATTTCAATGCCATCAACGAGGCCTGGAACACGCTCAAAGATCCCATAAAGCGTAAACACTATGATGCCGAATTACTGCAGTCGAAATTTCAAACGCACAGCAACATTTACGCCACCATTACGTTAAGCGACATGCGACGTGCCGAAGTTGAAATGGAAGAGGTTGAAGGGGAAGAGGAACAGCCCGAAGCTGACGCAGACAAAGAGACAGTGTCAGCGACAACTATGGGCTTTGCCTTTACGTACAATTGCCGTTGTGGCGGTCAATATGTACTCGATGAGGCTGCTGCTGGTGCTCTGGATGAGTCACCATCATCATCAGCAGCAGTCGCCACATTAAAAGCAGACGCAGACGCAAGCGACAACGACGACAAAACAGCAGACAAGCCGGCTAGTGAAGTGATTGTTGAGTGCAATGAATGCTCCTTGGTGATTATCGTTGAACGGAAAAAGTAGAAAAGAAACGCATTCAGTTCGCACCATGCTTTCAATTATCACTATAATAAGATATACAATTCTAAAAATTAGTTAATGAGCTCTCGGATTTTATGAATATTGATATTTATAAACAATGGAAATAACTTCGAAAATATTTAGTATATTTTGTGCTAAATGGGATAAAAATAATGAAATTAAATAAATGAAGCTGCAGTTGTCATCTACAACATGTAAATTGTATTTATACAAATACAACAGATTTATACAAATACAACAGATTTTCTTGAAAATTTAACGCAACTCATTTAATCTTATTATACAAATAAATTAGTTTTTAGTAATTAATAAAAATATCGCCCTCCTCTGTGCTTCTCATACGAGGCACCTAACCGCAGGCACCACCAATATTTGATTTAATCATATTTTTATTCAAAAAACTGAACATTGGCACCTAAACACCTTTATATCAGTCTAAACTGACTTTTCGTAATGAAGCTGTTACCGTATATATTGAAATCAATTTCAGAATCTAGCATTTGAAGAGGGTGGGTGGTGCCATGCCCTCCATTTAAAAGAAACCAAGGTAATAACAAATATATAAAAAAGGTCCATCATTTTGATGGAAGCTATAGATTATTATTTGGCTGGCAAGTTCAACGTCAAAAGATTTAACGGCTCAAGAACTCTCTCCTCTTGACTATTAAAGGAAACCGGAATCATTCTGTTAAGGCAGATACATTGTATTGTAATTTTGCTTTATACGGTTTCAAGATTGAAGAGCTGTAATCTAATAATCAGGTTCCTCTGACAGTTAAATGCATCACAAATATAACCGGAGTAGTTTAGCATTTCTGATTAAAACTACCTCTTTGTTTATGTGGATTCCAACAACCCTTTTCAATTGTTTACATTTTTATTTTTAAACATTCATGCATTTATACATTTTGTTCGCTGTACGCTAATATATAGGCCTGTGAACGTAATTGTTGGAAATTTCGCGCTTGGGCTTCGTTTCTAGTATTCCGGCAGTGGTTACCTCGAAAGCAGGCGCATTGTTCGCTGCATCTTAGGCGTCTGATGCAGCACGAACACCTTTTAAAGTTCGAAAGACAATCGCCATTGCAGTTACAAGTCAAGTTGTCTCTTCTCATTGAGCCCAAGTAACGATTTTGTGGGGGCAATTTGTTGCCAGCTTGATGATTGTTCTCCCGTCCCCGACATGGCAGACACACGAGGCTTCTTGGTTGTACGTTTGGAAATTGTTTTTGATTGGGGTTCTTTCTATAACAATTTCCATAAGCAGTACATTGATGAAGTAATACATTTCGGTCTGGTTTAGTAAACTGCATTGGTTGAGAAATATTAGTAATTAGGTATCAACATAAATAGCTTCATAGACTTTTAACTTACCCTTTCTTTGGGATGGAATCCTGGGTTACATGAATAACGAATTTCGCGGCGGACATCGTTTCGACGCCTCGGATCGGGACTAAACGAATTTCTACGATGATTTATGGGGCGCAAGGGCCTTCCCCTGCGATCCTCAAATGGTTTGATCCATTCAGAGTAGTTGCGTCTGACTCCTTGGGAAAGTCCATTTCTACAATGACTCCACCTTTGTCCGTTGTGGCCTTCTTCATTCACTTCGGGGTATCTTTGAAAATTGCGCCACATTCGCCGCTCCTGTGGGTTTTCGCGTTCTTCGCGTATTTGTAGTTCATTACGATAATTGCGATTTCTCATTCCGCGTACGTTCGAGCTATGGTATCTTTGAAAATTCGGACCATGCGTTTCTTGGCGTTCGCCGCGCATTTCAGGACTTACATAGCTGCTGCGTCTGTGCCAATTATTATTATCTGGGCGTAGTCGGGGTGTATTGGATTTGCGTCGAGGACTATTGTTGCGATTAAATTGCTTTTCTTCTTGTTTCTCCTGCATTTTGAGAAATGGGGGCGGCAAAATACAATCGAACACGCTTCCAAAATAGCAGCCGTCAACGCGTCCCTTTCCACGAATAACGGCGCTTTTAGGTATGTTAGAGTATATTAGTATCTTAGGATTGTTAGAAGAATGTATCGATAAATATGCCTCGACTACTTGATGGAATTAAGCGTTTCCTTCAGTGTAAATAATTACGAAATGAAATGTTAAACATTTATATTTATATATTGTGCTGCACATTAAAATTTCTTGCCTTTATAGCGATCGATGAAATATTATTTGTTATGAGTTGGTGAAATGTTTCCAAAACACCGATAGCTCGTTTTGCATCACTTTCAGTATTATATAATAAGGTTATTCTTGCAACTGATTTTTCTGACTTGCAGCACTTGCTATTTGATTGATTTTTTGAAAAGCTGTTAGCGGTTTGTAGATTGTCCCAAATCAAAACAATCTGTGAATATTTCTACAGCTTACTAGAATTTTTCAAATCAGATTTTCGTTGAAATTAGTGCTTTGGAAAATTCCAATTGATAAATGATCTCGATTGTGAAAATTGATGCACTTATTTCGACCTAAAAAATGGTTTCTACAACTAATTTTTTACGCCAAACAATTCAGTGCTTGTACCAGATTTGAAAAATTAATGAATTATAATGACTACATTTTATACCGCCATAGTAACAGTTCTGACAAATATAATACATTTTAATGTTTTTATTTAATTTATTGATATTGATTTTTTGAAAATAAATTATCGGTTAAATATTAATGAAATTTTTATATTTTAAATACAGTAATATTTATTCAAAAAAATACTCAATCAATTTGACCTTCGATTAATTAATTTTTTTATTATTCTTATAAATAGATTTAGATACAAAAGTATGTAATAATTGTATTATCGGCTGCACAATTTCACCTTCAGGAATGTTCTGAAATTCAGATCTTTATTTTAATTGTAAGCGTATTGCAATACGAGTAAGCCGATTGTGTATGTAACTTACATTTACATCCAATAACAATGCATTTCGATTTACCAGCTTAGTTTAAATTTTTTATAGTGGCTTAACTCACTTTTTTTTAATGGAACGGCAGCAGCAACAACAAACACAACTAACACTGTTCGGCAGTTAAGACAAATCAATTGATTTAAGCTACATATGCTTGCTCGCTTCTCCAACTGCCTGAAATCAAATCAAGCGCCTTATTGTTTGGCCAACACACTCAAAACGTTTATGGCTTTGCGCCTGCTTATTGGTTTCTTGAACTTTTGTTTAACGGTAACTTTTATGCAAAACTCGTTGCCAGTGCTGTCATCGTCATTGTTGTCGTCGTCATGCATATTTTATGCCCTGCCATTGTCGCCTCAGACTCAGTGACAGACAGACTCAGACACCCAACTCCAGTCCCAAAATGATGTAATTTCGATTGCAGTCGCTCGCTGCCTCGTCTGCTCTGCTTGATTTTGCTTTATTTTGTTTTGCATAAATTTCATTTCCGTTGTGCAAAATAATGATTATAAAAATGTCTTCACTTATGCCGTTGATTGCTTTGTCGTTGTCTCGTGTGAATGTTAAATCTGGATCCCACATTATATGAAAGAAAGAGTTATGTGGGTCACTTGAGCCAACGCCAGCAACAACAATTACGCGTACGCATGAAAAGTTAAATAATTTGCAGCAATTGCCAAGTAAATGCGCATATTTGAAGTGCTCCAAAACACTGGTGGGTCACATACTATAGAAAACTATAGTGGGTGATTCCGGTGCTTCTTAGACCAAATTGTACTATATAGTATACATATAAAAGAAATATGCTACTGCTAAAGCGGATCAAAATATGCCAGAGCTTAAAAACTGATTGGTCCCTTGCTTCATAAAAACTACGTTTTCTAAATTCTCCATATATTTATGTACACACATACATACATACAGGGTGCGTCATCTTTATGTCGGTGTGTAGATATTGAATGGCTTTGTCATTAGTGAACCGATTGATTTGAGTAGACCAGTGTTGAAAACCTCAGTTCAAGAAATTGTACAGAACCAAATTAAATAAAAATATCTCATACTTGAAAATCGGTTGTTTATTTTCAAAGATATTCAGTGTTTACATACCGACATAAAAGATGGCGCACCCTGTATTTATGTATATGTAGTATGTAAATGTACTATACTATATGTACTCTGATCTTTTGTGGAAATGGCGCCAGCTTGCTGGATACACTACTCCTTATGTACTCTATTTGTTCCGAAAGAATTAAAGCGCCTTAAACAAAATGAAAACGAAATAAAAAGAATATTTCGCCAGCGTCGCGCCTAAATTGTTGGCGATGTGAGAGCTTTTGGTGCGAAATTCAATAACTTGTGACCAGAACGACGGCCACATCCGCACATCCATTTCCACTTGCCACCCCCTCTCCACTCCCTTGCAGCATGCGTGCCGATCGACGATGATGTCAGCGTCTGCGAAAATACAACCGAAGCGAAATGTTAATAATCGTACACGCGTGCAGCAACCGCAACAATAACACAAACAACATCGACGATACCAAATACATTTGTTTATGATTATTGCAAAGTAATTTGTAATTACTCGGCTAATTACGGCGGCTGCGCTGTGAGAGTTTTCTGCCACCACATCCACCACTTATCATTGATTTTTCTCTCAGTTCCATTAATTCTTTGATTTATTACACTAAGAAAAATATATGATTTGCTGAAATTATGAAAAGACCGAGATTTTCCATTCATTAGAATGGTATTTAATCAAATTTTGGTTTAAAATTTAATATTTCTACGTTTTAAAAAAGAAAACACATTTATCCGCCTTGTTTCGAACCAGCTTAGAAAATTGCAATTCCGTGTAAAATGTCTCGACTTAGCCAACAATTTTTTGCGGTGCAGTCGCTTTTCATTTCAAGTGTGAATGCATCGGCCTATTAATAGTTAGCGGTCTCCAGCTTTCGTTTTCCATCGCGTAGCTGCAAGATTGTTGCCATGCAGCGGATGGATACGCAAATACTCGTACGTTTGATAGGCACTTGATGATTTTCATCGCATTAAGTACGGTTGGAGGAACAGCGTCTGGGCCGGCCGGACAAAAGGGAATGCCTATCGCCAAACATCTCTCACTTTTAATAACCTTTTGACACACTAAGATTGAAACGCTTTAGCGCATTTTTCGTCATCCATTGAGGCTTACATTTTGGTTCAGCCGGCCAGCAGTTACTGCTGCTATATGACACGCGCTACGACTTCGGATATATATACATATATAAATAGTTGTATGTATGTACATATATAATGTATATGTGTACTTTAGATACGTTGCCAACATTAAAACGATGCCAACTCGAGTCAACCACTTTCATTTCGTTTTCACTGCGCATTAAAGACACTCGAGCAGCTTTAATTGCTCAAGAAATGTGAAAAACAAAAACGGCAGAAGTAACAAATGAAAATAACAAAAACAAAAAAATATATACATACATACATATGTATGTAAGTATAGCCTATACATATAGCATAGTTAGTAGAAAGCCCAAGAAGTTTACCGCTCTCTCGACTTTAGATGCCAGCAACCATCAACCACATCAGCGGGTGTAAAATGCGTGGAAAAGTTTGTCACTTTATAGCGTTGATCGAAAACATTAACTTTGATGAATTGGAGCGTGAAAAGTGCCGTCGCATTGTCAGATATATATATATGTCTGATATGCCACAGTTTATATTGAATGCTTTTGTCAAACTCATATTTATTTTATATATATTTTTAAAAATTTTAAATCAATTGTTTAATAAATATTCATTAAACAGGCCTATGGTTAACATTAAAAACACTCTTCGTTGGTATGATGATTCAGTTCGAAAAGAAATTTCGAAGTCAGAAAACTCTCTTAATTGACATCGTCTTCTAAAACTCTTTACACATTTAAATACCCATCAAACGTTTTTGTTTGTTTTCCACAAAATTTTTTCATATGTGTATACCCTGTACCCATAGGGTAAAAAGGGTATATTAGGTTTGTGCAAATGTCCATAAAGTATATATATTCTGAAATCGATCTAGACATGTCCGTCCGTCTGTCTGGATGAACGCAAGGATCTCGGAAATTATAAAAGCTGGAATAACCAAATTTGGTATCCAGATTCTCCTAGGCCGAGAAAGGACGAGTTTATTTTATATTTTCGAATTTTCCCCCCTTTCCCCGCTACAGAATTTCGTCAATACCGTTCACATTTCAAAAGCTACATTAACAAAACTTTGTATACATAATTTTCATATAAATATCTACTTTTGTTTCATCCAAATCGGACAATTCTAAGAAAAGTTATTAGCGAAACAATTTCACTCCAGGGTACAGGGTATTTCACTATCGGGCTTGCTCGACTGTAGCGTTCCCTCTTGTTTTCTAAATAAATTTGTTAGTAAGCCTCGCTTCCTAATCTAGAATGATGGGATCGTTATTTAATATAAATCTAATTAAATATATTTTAAACATTTTAAAATGTGCCCCAATATCGTTGAAAGAAAGAGGTTGTTGGTTTGTTCCCGTTTTAAAATTAATATTTTAAATGTTTATTAGTTTTATAATTTTGCAGTTAATTTAGAAAATAATACATAGAACATGTTTGCAGCTTCAATTGAAAATTCTTGATCAATACCATTCACTTGGCCATTTACATTTTTGTATTTAGATGTAGGGAAACTTTTTAGACCCTAAAAAATTTTATTTCATAGCACTGCTATATGTATATATTATAATTTCAATAAAAACATAGTTTCCTATTCCCCCGATCTTTATGTAGTTAGCACCAAGAAGCCGCTTCCATCAAAACATATTTATAGTATTTATCAAAACATTTTTCCAAAAATATGTATGCATTCTGCACATTATACCCAATCAACAAAGCAATGTTGTGGTTTTAAATACTTTTGTGGTTAATAATAAAAAAAAACCTGTAATATGCATAAAATGCTCATTTTAAAATGCATTTTATGGTAAAACCTGATTTCTGAAGTGTACCTTGAACTTGAGGATTTGGGCTGCAAGAAACAGGGCCCTAAAGTGAATCACAGAGTCAGAGTTTTGTTTTGACACCGAGTGGCAAAAATGAAATAAAAAGAAAACAGCTGATTGAATCACCAGTCAAAGCAACAACAGCTGTGCACCAGATGAATCATAATTGGTTCAGCGAAGGGCAAGAGCATGGACACCCATTGTGTGCTATGACAGTTCTCCATGGCAGTCTATAAATACCGGTTGCACCATCTACTTATCAGTGAAACAAGCGCCGGCCATTGATCGTGAGTGATAATTGTGACGAGGCAGGCCCAAGGTTAATGAACATCTACCAGTATCTGCTTTTGTCTGCGCTTTGCGTACATCTTTCTCTCGATTTTAATTACACAAAAGTGTTGATTAATCGTTGCCTTTTTCTTTCTTTCTTCTTATTTTTTATCCATTGGAGCTTCTATCCGACTCTCCATACGACTCTGCACGCGTAGCTTTTTCGTCGCGAGTCGCTGAGTTGTAGCTGAAAGATACATTTCATGAGGCAAGCTATTTTGAAGTTCTGCGCAAAAGTTTGTTTATACATATTTCGTGTGTGTGAGTGTGTGTTTCTGTGTGTGCTGGTGGGTGAATCTCGAACTACAAGCGGAATAAATAAACAGCAACAAAAATAATTGGGGCAACAAGTAGAACAAATAAAACAGCCACAACAACAATCAGCGCAGATTATGGAAAACATTGGCATGGTACAACAATTTATACATACATACATATATATTTTGAGATACATCTACATACATACATATGTATATAGCAACAGTTTGAGAAACTGCACTTAAATGTGAAACAAATTCGGGGAAATATGTTCGTGATAAAGGGCTTTCGAGTTACATCAAACGGTTGGCTTTTAACTTCAATTCGATAGATTAATATTTTACAAACGCCTTTACTCAACAGTTTTTTTTATTTGCAAAATCATTTAGGTAAACACCAATAGTTGAGACTTTTAAAATATATGTATAATAGTTTTATATAATTATACCAAAAAGTAACTTTGTATAATTGTTTCAGTTAACACGAAGCTTTTCCAGTTTGTTGAATTTTGGCCTTAAATTTAATGTCTTTCGTTTCATTTCAAATAAATTCTTTCTAAAACAAAACAATTCAGCAAAAAGGCAACTGGGTTTCTTTTCATTCGCACAATCTCTTACGAAACAACGGACATTTTAGAATGTAAATGATTGTACTTGAATTATAATTATATACAATTTGAAAAGTAATTTACTTTCTCTGTTGTTGTTTTTTTTTTTAATAAGTCGGCAATCCTTCTAATGGAAATTCAAGAAAATGTGAATAACAGAACTGCACTATTTCTTTTGGCACTGGAAATACAAATTTTGCAACATATTTTTGTAGAAAAATATACAAATTTAATTAAAGAAGACTCAGACTAATTATAATTTATAAAGTAAATATTAGGTGCTTTCGCTCCCAAAATTCTGAAACTTTAATTCTATAATTTCAATGCCACATAATAGAATGGACATTTAAAGGCAAAACTACACATTTCTAAGCTCAGCTCTAATAAAAATGTTCTACCTAAGACCAAGGTGCTTCTTAATTTGAAAAAACTGTCTAGATATTGAAAAACTGTGAAAATTCTCTGTGAAATCCAAGTATTTTGTGTAAGTGCCATGCCTAAATCAGCATCGGAACTAAAATAATGCTATTCTCTAAAACATAACCATTCAATTTATCAAATGTACTGCCTCCTACAGCAATTTTTAGAGGTGTAGTACACTTTGTGGCGTGTGGTGCGGCGAGAAGCTTTTCTGGAGCACAAGCCACTATGTTAAGCTTGGCAATCAATTTAATTGAAATAAGCTTTCTATTCCTTTTCTAACCCTCTTATTCTCTACCTATTGGCTTTCTTTCAGCAGTTTGAGGCGTGACTTTAGCCACGCAATAGTCGTCAACCTGGCCGGAAGCAACGCCGCCAACAGTTCCATCAACACCACCAGCACCAGCACCAACACCTGTAAAAGTAACAAAAGCAACAGCAACAACAAACACAACCAGAAGACTGAGACACCGTCCATTAGAGCAGCACAGAAAATGGCCTCAACCGGGGAAATTTGGCTGCAATGGTTCTGTTGTTTCCAACAGCAAAGGTCCCCCTCACGCCGTCCGCACCAACGACTGCGTATCGATCGTTCCATGATCGGTAATCCCACAAATTTTGTGCACACGGGCCACATCGGATCGGCCGATGTAGAGCTCTCGGCGAACCGTCTGAACGCGATCTCAACGCAAATGCAGAGCAAGGGAGGCTATGAAACGAACTCGATCCACTCGCTACATGTAAGTTGGGGGCGGTGCGTCGCTACGGGGTCTTGGGGGCCGGCATCTGGATTCTGAATCATGCGCTTTTTATTGCGTGCAAATTTGCGAATCACGATTGCAACTCGAGATGTTCGAAGAGCATTTAGCACCTAAATACGAGTTGGAAGGTGGCGTTAATGTGGTTTGTTTGTTTCGCCTTTTCGCAGCAGTTTCATTTTATTTCATGTTTTTTGTGGCTTGGGTGGCTTGGATTTTTGTAGGCCAAGCAGCTATGGAGTTCAAGGTGTAGAAAACTAGTTTGCTAGTCGCTGCGACTAAGAATTCTATTCTATTTGACTTATGTCTCCATGAGTCATAATTAACGGCTCGACTGCGTGCCTAAGAACATTAACGGCCCAGTTTACATTCTAAGGGTTAGCTTTTACTTTGCTCTAGCCCTTAACCTTAGCTGCATTGCTAGTGTTGAGTGAGACTTTTAATTAAGTCAATGAAATTAAAATTCGACCAAGAAATGAAATTCCCATTTCATAAAAATTAAAAAAGCTTGTAGAACATCAAAACATTTCAAAGTTGCATAATAAGGATTGAAGAAATAGTGGACTCTTATAAAAAATAACAGTTTGAAGTGTTATTGTGAAATAAAAAGCGAAATATTTCGACTTTTGTTGTTAAAGTTCTTTTATTCGCGAGGCCTTAATTTGTAAATTTTTATTACAAATTTGAGTTATTAGCTGTAAGCTTTGGGTTATCGGCACTTTAACTTCTTAGAAATGCATTTACTATATTATTGTAGTTAACTTAAAATTCTAAAATGGTAGTCCTATTGATGATAACCCAGGATATTGTGTTGGAAAACAATATCACAATTAATTAATTAAATTTAATTAACGAGCTTCCTATTAAAATATTTGGTGGGTTTAATATGAATTCAAAGAACAGTGATATGTTGACGGCCTTATGAAGCCTTTTAACTGATCTTGTGTAAGAGCTTTTACAGTTATATTTCCAAATGTTCAGAACCAAATATCTTTCTGCTGCAACTCCTTTCTTTTGAAATAAATAAAAATGTGTTTTGTAAATAAATTCTTTAGAAAATGTCCAAGCCAAAAACGTTATTTCTAAAAAAACGAATTCATTTCCATTTTATTGTGGTAACCATATCCGGAGATGTCAACTTTATTTTTATTGACTGAGTTTTATAGGCTTTAATTATATGACAGTTATAAGACGTATAATGATCTTACATGGTCATTTCCGATTTGTTGTAGTAACGATATCCGGAGATGTTAACTTTATTTTTATTGAAGTAAGCCGAAGTCTGATTTGTATACACTTTCATTCATATCGTTGCTATGACAGTTATACAAGTTATACGCATGATCTGACATGGTTGGACTCGATGGTGTTTTCGTCAAAAAGAAGCAATGTATAATAGTGATAGCTCTATAGCTGTGGGGCCCAGGAACTGGCATATAGACGGACAACAAGTGGTCTATCATTCTTCCTTTACAATATTACCTAAAACTGTCTACAAATAGATTACTTACCTGAATTCAATAAATCCAATTTAACAAAAATATCGAAGTGGGACAAAAGTTTTCAATTGTCAAGCTGAAGCTTTTATGCGATATTAGAACTGAGAGGTTCACTGTGAACAAAATCAAAAAGATTGTAGTAACTGGCATATCCTAGGGGAAATCAATTAAACATCGCCAGCACACTAGCTTTACATATGCACATTTGCATATACATAGTACATCTGCTTGTGTACTGGCGAGCTTACTAAGCCACGATGTCGGCAGACAGACTAGACTGGCTCTGGCTCTGGTGATAACATCTGCTCGTTGCCCCACCCATGTCGCAGCTTATTATAAGAAACAATAGCTGCCTGGCCCGGCCACGGTCTGGTACATCGCTTAAACAACTTAACCAACAACAAAAACAGCTAATGCACATTTTCTTTTTCGTTTTATTGTTATTTTTTTACAGGCCTGCTGATGTTGCCCACCACCACAAGGCGTTGTTGTTGTAGCTGTGCTTTGTGTTGTTGCATTTCGTGCAATTTTTTTTTTGTAATTTTTATAAAAACATTTCTTATAATTCTTTGTTAAACGCGAGTGTTATCAGTTGTTCCAAAGGCGATGATGATGCCGGCGAAGAAGCAAATTAACAATCAGCTCCACAAAACTGTCCAGTGGAACGAAAGGTGCAGAGAAAGAGCGCTGAAGAGTGGAAGGGCAGGAGAGTGCTGCTGTAGAGGAGTTGATATTGGAAAGCACCACAGGCACGGACAATGGATTCGGAAGGGCAGGAGAGTGCTGCTGTAGAGGAGTTGATATTGGAAAGCACCACAGGCACGGACAATGGATTCAATTATGGGATTGAATAACACCAGCTATATACATACACACATATATGTATATATTTTATATGTATACTATATGAGCATGTGGTCGGTACCGATGTTGACAAAGAGATACCCAATTCTCAGTCCATATTTCCTTTGAAACTGTACTGTTGCACCTTTTGCGAGTATTATTTATATGAAAAAACTCAAAAGATTTAACAGTCGATCAAAAAATCTCTACAAACAAAATAAAACGAATCGAAATTAACTAATTTGCAAACCCAAACTCGAAATAAAATCAATTTTTTAACAAATCTTATGTACTTAAAAATTTAATAATAAGAAACCCATGCAATCATTAGATCATTTAATTGGAAACAAAACGAAATTGTAAATTATTTTTAAACTCATACCCAGTTCTAAGTACATTAATATCTATTTCATTGCATGATTGTGTTCCAGTTAAGCTTATCAGTTAGAGGAACAGAAAAGAAATGGGAAATGTTTTTAATATCACTCACCCCTCAGTTTGCCATTCGATTCCATGTGGTATGCAAAACATTTTCATACAAAAACACACACAAAGCAGAGCACAACTGCACAACAACAAACAATAGTTATAACGATAACAACAACTGTAACAGCCGTAACAATTACAAATGATATAGTCTGACAAAGTATAATGAGTAGAATGCCGTGAGTTCTGTAACAAATTGTGCAACTAGTGAACATTTTACAAATCTGATTTAGCATTTATATAGTGCAGAAAAATACAACAATAAATTGTCGCACAATCACATTTTTTACAAGACCGAAAGAAACCAACAAATAATTATCATAATCCATTAAATATTTATTTTTAATTGTATTATTGTACACGTAATTCGAATAATTGTTTATAAAGCAAAAATATTTAACATACTATACATATTTTTTATAGATTCGCTTTTTAGCATTCGTCTGAATTACGATTTTAAATAGCACACTGGTAGTGAAAAATGTTTCGAAAGCAATCTTACGAAAATTGTAGAACGCGAGTACCTATATACAAAAAAAAACCCACTAACATCTAAATTAAATACCCTTCATTATATCTTAACCCAAGAGCAGAATATGTATGGAAATTGTAGATATGTATTGAAAAGAAAATGCTTTCCAAGCAAGTAGACTAATTGTATAAACAAATTATTTAAGCAATAATTTATAAAATAAATGTAACCAAAAAAAGTAGAATAAACGGAGTTTTTCTTTGATGAAAAATTTACTTTTTGACAAAAGAAAATATCGTAAAAATATCAAGTTTTTTTAAACCACTCGATATCAAGGTTTGAATCGAGAAAGAAAGTTTTTCTATTTACAAGGTGCGTGCCAAAGAAATTAAACAAAATCGAAGAGTGTCGACCGCCGGCTAGCAAGTCCTTCAGAATGACGGTACAAGCCTTTTGAATGGTTTCGACTTTAATAAACAAGAGAGAACGTTACAGTCGAGCAAGCCCGACAGTGAAATACCCTGTACCCAGGTCAACTTCCGACACTGAGGTATATGCGCATCTAGCAGAAGCAAAAGGAAGAAGACCGAACTTGAAATTGAAAAAAATACAATAAACTCGTCCTTTCTCGGACCTAGGAGTATCTGGAAACCAACTTTGGTTATTCTAGCTTTTATAGTTTCTGAGATCCTTGCGTTCATCCAGAAGGACGGACATGTCTAGATCGATTTCTCTCGTCATGCTGATTCAGAATATATATACTTTATAGGGTCGGAGATGCTTCCTTCTGCATGTTACATACTTTGCACAAACCTAATATACCCTTTTTACCCTACGGGTACAGAGTACAAAAAGGCACTTTTCCTTGCAGTTTTACAATAATCTCGACATTTATTAGACACACTGTTTTATACAATTTTCAATGTTTCAATTACAATCAAAACAGAACTGAATCAACCATTTCGTAAATCGAAATTCTCTTAACATATCTTTATCTTAAGAAAGCTAATACATAATAGCATTTAAAATCTGGGGCTCTCGATTTGTTTCTAATTCATGTCACGTTTCTGTATTTTATGGAAATCGGGTTGAGATTTAGTCATCATTATCGCTGCCACTGCCGCTACCGGAGCCGCTGCCACTGCCACTACCGCTGCCCGACTTGCTGCTTGCCCCGCTCTTGTGGCTCGCATTATCGTCGCTTTGATCGCCGGCTGGACCGCTTTTCTCGCTGCCTGCTTCCGATTCACTGTCTGAGTCCCGTAACGCTTTCGTCGCCTTGGTTTTGTCGACTTTCTTATTGCGACGGCCCTCAAAATCGGACCCTTCATCGTCGTCAGACGAGTAAATGGTGGATGCCTTTGGCTCTGCTGCAGCACTGCCGCCTGCGCCCTTTTTGTAGCGATTTTTGATGGCACTTAAGCTGATGGCATTGTCATCATCACTGCCATCATCCTGCTGATATGATGAATTGCCGCCGCTGAGCGTTTCCCCAGCTCCTGCCTTCTTCTTCTTCACCGGCGCCTTATGCTGATTACGCATAGCCTGACGCAGCTTGGCTTCCTCCTCCTTGAGCTGCGTAGGCCGATCGGTGGTAGGATCTTTGCCTACTTGCGTTAGGATCTTAATGCCGCTCGTCTTTGTCGAACGATCAGCCAATGACATGGTCATCTTCTTGTGCGTAAATGATTCAGTGGAATGAGGTCGGAAGGTAAGCTTAGTGCGGAAGACCGATTGGCCTTGAAGACCGGTACCCTGGCGTATGAATAAGTGGTTGTGGTCGCCCAGCAGTGGCTGGCGATAGGCATCGAAGATCTCGTTACCTAGATGCAAGGACATGCTGCCATCGGACCATCGCACAAAACGAGCATTCGATTCACGAACCATATCTCCTTTATTATTCATGTACTCGCGCCAGCGAATTGTGTTGCTCACCTTGAGCTTAATGCGCTGACGACCCTCTTCGTCCATTGTTTCCTCCTCGTCAATTTCGTCCTCATAGGTTTCTGGATCGAAGGGATGGGTTACGACTGACAGAAAATTTGGCAACTTTATGAAATGCTGCTCCTTCCCCAGGTCTGCGGAGATGCGCGGAATCTCTACATCGATGCGTGTTTCGGGTAATGGTTCAGGCTCATCCTCCTTGGCGGCCTCCTGTGTTTGTTGTGGCTCCGTCGTGTCTCTATCGCGTGAACGTGACCGGCTGCGGCTGCGACTTACAGAGCGACTGCGTGAACGGGACTTAGACACGCTACGACTGCGTGAAGGCGTCGCCCTCTGGGGAGATTTTTTCCCCGTTGCATTAGCATCCGCATCATCGTCGTCACTAATATCGTCTGCATCGCCAAAAATATCAGAAGCTGCGGGTGGTTTCTTTTCCTGCAAAAAAGTTTTGAAGGTCGTATTTAGATATATATGTATTTTAAGGCATACGCACCACCTCATCTTCATCGCTGTCTGAATCGATTAGACGGGATTTTTTGGGCTTTGTCGGGGAAGTTTCATCGCTATCGCTGCCGCCACTTTTGCGTTTCTCGTTATCGGAACCACTGCCCGAAATTCGGCGTTTCTTTTTGGGCACACCAATATCACTGCCTGAGCCGGAACCGCTGCGGCTCCTCGATGTACGCCTTGAACGAGGCGTTCCCGATCTGGACCGTGAATGCGATCGGGATGTTCTACTGCCGCTCCGACTACGACTCTTTGAATTCGCGCGCTCATCGTCGATCTGCAGATTGGGCGAATTAGATCGACTTTCTTCATTACCACTACCGGCTTTGGGCGTAGCTGTTCGAGATTTGTGATTGGAACGCTTGCTCTGTGGCGTGCCACTTCGGGATCGGGAACGTTTGCTTGCAGGAGACCCAGAGTGTGCACTCTGTGCCGAGCCAGAGCGCCGACTGTGTGGTGAGCCAGAATGCCGACTCTGAGCTGACCCAGAGCGCCGACTGTGTGGAGAGCCGGAATGTCGACTCTGAGCTGAGCCTGAACGTTGGCTATGCGCGGAGCCGGAGCGTCGACTACGTGCCGAGCCCGAACGCCGACTATGCGCTGAGCCAGAGCGCCGACTATGTGCCGACCCTGAACGCTGACTATGCGCTGAGCCAGAGCGCCGACTATGTGGTGAGCCCGATCCAGACCTGGAGCCCGCAGACGAACGTGAGCCAGATCGCGACCGATCACTCTCGCTGCCTGATTTTCGGCTACGTGGCGAACTATACACAACATGAAACCAATTATAACATACTTCACTTAGGTAAAATTATTGCAATGCCTACCCTGGCGCGCTGCCTCGTGGAGTGATGCTTCGACTGCGACTGCCACTATGACTGGAATCGGAAACAGAGCCTAGAAGAAAGCCTCCTTTAGGCACACCTATGATTATACATATATTAATAAAAAAATCTTACCGCTGTCATCATCCGAGTTTTTGTCATCCATTTTGTTGTATAATTTATAATTTCACGCCGGCAAATTGCAAATACGGAGCTGGCAGGACTGCAACTAAGCATAAAATTATGTGCAATAAACTGCTAATAATTCTACCGAATTGCAGTTAGCATATTAGTATAACGACAGTAGTAGAACTCAAACGAATGGGTTTTCTACGTTGGCAAAATAAGCATTAAGAATCAACTATGGAAAATGCTCTTTGCAATTTATGCTGCCACCACGCTTTAAACCGATTATTTGCGAGCATCTGGCAACGTCCATCTACTATCTTATCGGTACTACTTTTAGGTAAATTTTTTCGAGTACGCTTTCGATAGATGCATTAACATCACAACATCGACCGTATCGGCATCGATGCTAAATTTAACATCTCTACTCGTTTTCTGTGTTTGTATTCGTGACTGACCACAAAGTTTTTTGCGGACGATTTTTGTGTGCACTTTTAGCCACTCCAGTGCTAAACTATTGTTTATTGGATACCAATTGTAAACTATACAATATCGTATGTATTTAATCAATGTGCGCTGCATTGTGTGACGCGTAAAAAATACGCAAGTCTACAGCCAACAAATCGCCAATTTGCTCGGGTGAAATTTCAATGAACTGAGAAAACAAAGGCAGAGACACACACACAGCGAGGAAGAAGCAGCAGCGGAGGCAACAGCGCAATAGCAAGCAATTATTTACATACTTACAAAAAATAAACTATATCTTTTACACACAACCTGAGGCGAACATTGCGAAAAAGCCTATTACACAGTGCATAGCGTTGCGAAATTAACAACAAAAATATAAAAAATCGGTAGTTTTGTGCGAATTTGCATAAGTGTACGTGTGTACGTGCGGCCGCTGGGAGCACCAGACAGCCACAAAAAAAACTTTGCACTTCTCAGAAGGCACATATAAAAAGCGCTTCGGAACTCCTTTTCGTGTGGCGACGACAACGAAGACGAGACCACGACCAACACCAGCGAATACATACAAACAAACACCTACACTCGTATATGTGTACATACATATACAAGACAAACATATATGCAACATTTTTAGGGACGAGAACACGGCGCGGAAAATTACTAACTAACCTCTCCCGCACGTTTTGTTACACTTGGCGCATTTATGTACGTGTGTATGTGTGCGTGCAAGTGTGAGAGCATATAGTATATATATATATCCTGTGCGCGTCCCGTTCGGAGACTCCATCAGTCGCCGCGCTTATACCGTTTCCACACACACGCATTAGTGTGTGCATGTGTGTGAGTGCCATTTTTAATACAATATAAAAATTGTGCGCGCGCCAACAGCATTAAACGCTGACCCTAACCTTTGATAGCCTCCAGCATTGGAGGAGTTTTATTTAAAAAAATAACAATATTATAGTAAGAACCGTATCATTTGACAAAAACCTCAACGCGCGGAGGTCGAGGACGATCCATCAGACGGTCGACGACGACGACGTTGCCCAGGCGCTTTGGAATGTTAGATGCGGTGAGAACCAACAGTTCAGTGTATGTTGTTGTTGGCTGCAGTCGTTTGAAAAAAGCAGGAATCGTGGAAGAAGAAGAAGCCGAGGTATCATTTAACATTAATCTAGGTGAGTAGAGAGGCTGTTGCTATTGTTGTTGGCTAGACAATTTGAATCAGTTTTCAAGGCTAGTGACAACGCACGCAATTATACGTGAGCACCTCATAATCAAGTCGTTATTGTAGTTGTTCTGTTAATTGGTCAAACTTTAAATCAAAGTCATTTGATTTTGGTTCGCTGGCTGGCTTTTTGCTTGTATTTGTAAATAGTTTTGGCGCCAGTGTTGCGCAGCGCTGTAGTCGGCGATCGGTCAGCTGGTGAACTTCGAACGATCAAAAATAAACAAAATTAGAAAAGATGCATACCAATATAGAAGTAGTTCTTTCTGTGTACGAATATGTTACCTGCGCCCGCTTTGATGTGCATTAATGTGTGTGTTTTACCTGCGGCGGCAATATTTAGAAATGGACTTGGGCCGTGATTTTGCTTTTGGCACTCGTACACACGAACGGTCGTCTTTCAAGGCGGCAGGAAATACTTTAAAACCTAAAAGTAACACTATCAAAAAACATTAATTTATTTATTAGTTTCTCGAAAATAAATAATGAACTAATTTCCAAACAGGAAATAAGATAGATTGATACCTAAATGGTATCTTCCGATTATTTTATTTTATAAAATAACATAATTAACAAAAAATTGGCTTGGATCAATCAGTTGTAACGTAGGGCGATGCTTGATTTTAGAAAACTGAAACCTGTTTCGGTTAAAATTGTACCATGTTATGCCTCTATTAAGTTTATGCAGAGCAACGTATTTAAAAGTTTTGTTAAAACTCCAATAAAAAAGTAAATTTAATAAAACATTTAGCGTATTCATACATTTTCGACATGCCAGTGCTTTAAATTCGTGGCCACTTCGTGTCGGACTGAAAAAAGCCGGCCCATGCTCATCTCTAGTATGTAGGCTGATATTAAGTGTAGTGCGTGATAACTAATACAAGCAAATATAAGTGTTTGAAGACAAGTACATACACATGTATGTTTGTGTTGACTGAGCTCTCGTTTTGCACTTATAATTGATCGTCAGACCAGGCAGGCAAGTTTATGACTACGCTCCCTCTCACACGCACACGTAGGCAAGTGCATGGCGTATCCTTTTTCATTTTGTCTGCTGCCACTTTTGATACTATAGTTGTTGTTTCCACTCTCTTCACTGTTGTTTTGAGACACTTCCTTTCTTGTTTTACGTTGTCGTCGTCGTTTTTGTGGCATTTTTAAATAACAGGCCAAGCCAAGCGCAGCAAAAGTGAAAAGGGCTCAAAAGCGCGACAGCTTGTGAAGTCAGTGAAGCAAATAAGGTTAGTCTGCCTGTCTCTACCTCCCTACCTCTCATCATATACATATGCCACATTGCATCCTTTGAGCTCGCAGGCTGCCATTCTAGATTTTTTGCTGCGAATTCGACAATAATTGCCCCCATTTACTGTCAACAATCGAGCGACCCGCTATTGTTCTTGTTCGCTCACCCGCCTTGCCTTTCTTTCCATTGTTAGTTTCAGCTATTTAAATTATTTGTAATTTTTTGTTTTTTAAAAACCCGCTTATGCATTGTATGTTACATTCAGAGCAGCTGATGCGCAGCCATTGCTACCAATTGGCTTCATCTCTCAGTGTTGCAAAGCGCGTACATATTTGTTTACTTGCGTCGTTTTATCGCCATTGCAATAATTTATACATTCAATTACACCGAAATAATAAAGCGGCTGATAGCAAATTTTGCGTCTCCCTTAGTAGTAAATAAATAGGCACTTTGGCCTTGGCTCTACCAGGGCGATAAACTAAATAGAAAAATCGTAAAATAGGCATCTATATTCGGTTGTTTATTTTTATTTGAGTGTACATGCATATGTTTAGTTTGTGTGACAAATTAGCTGCGTGCGCATTGTTATCAGAAAGGTGCTGACTGTCTCTCTCCTTGAAGAAACATACAAACGTACTTATGTACGTACACGACCATGTATATCTACATTTGTTATTGTTGTTTGTTTACATATGCTTTGAATTTATATACATATATTTAAAAATATGCCTCGTATGTGTGTTTGTATGTAAATGTGCTAATGAGTCACAAAAACATAAATGTTATTGTCGAATTTAGCGCCTCATATGTTGTGACATACATAGGTATTGTGTATATAGCTTGATAAGCAGATTTACAGTTTTGCGTTTTAATGATTAACTTTTGCGCGCAAACAAACTGCACCTACAATTCAATTTGTTTAATTGAAATTGCCATTATGTAGAAGCTTAACTTACCTCTCCGTATAGCACTTCCGATAGCATCCTCTTAAGCTACGATCATATAGGCAAATAGTTAAGTTATTTTTTTAAAGGTGAAAAAACAATAACAATGCTATACAAAAATGTTTTACTACTAAATCGGTTGTTGATTTACTCTTCATGGCTTTCTTTAACAATTTAATGAATAATTTGTCTGAACGTAGCATTTTGTATGTTTTTAATTGATGAATTAGATTATAAATTAAAAGATAAATTGGTAATTTAATAAATTTTAAAAAATAAACACTTCACAATGCCTATACGTATTGTATTGTATTCTTGTGTAACGAGAGTTTTTTTTTAATAATCTCAAATGTCACAGTTGTAGACGTAATACAAAATATTTATTTTAGTGTCTTCAACCGACCATGTCTAGTTGTTAGCTTACATAATAATTACACGGATAAGTTCCAAAGCATTTTAAGCAATATCTATCTACACACACATATAATAATGCAAGCATGTGTGTTAAAAAGCCATGTCTCTGTGTGTGATCGTTCGATCGTTATCGGATTTTCATTAATTGGCGCAGGTACCATCTTCCCAAAGGCTTAGGTGCGTAATCTCTGATGCAAGCGACCGCAGTAATAACAACAGCAAAAATAACAATGCTAGGCAAACACAACACTATTTAAAAAGAGACGTAAATAATTGTCGAACGGTCTAAGTAACCCACACACCTACATTTTCTTTTGCAGATTATGGCGAATTTAAATTTTCAACAACCCCCAAGAAGCATAGCAAACGCTACATTATCGGGTCGAACAACAGGCGGCTTCGGTGGTAGCTCACTGTCTGGCCATGTAACGCCCACGTCAGGCATGTTTCAAACCGGTAAGTTTGACCGATTGCATGTATATTATCCCCCCACAAAATGTGTAAACCAAACAATCTGTGTGTGTGCGTGTGTGTCTCTAACTGAGCGCAGATTTCGCCACTTCTTATCCAGGCGCAGCGAATTATGGCCAAACGCAACAACAGCCTCAACTCTCGCCTAATCGCAGTACGCAACTGTCTGTCGGCGGACCTGCTCTCTCCAGTGGCAATCGCAATGCGAATATATTCGGCCAGAGGGGAGCATTCGTGGAGCGGCGTGCCATGCAGGGTGGTCTCGGTGGCGGTCCCATGGTGAGTATAACATATCTAAAATTAGTGCTACAGTAAAGAACCCATCCTAGAGCAGTTTCAATATTCCAAAAAAAATTTTATATGTTCATTCATATGTATATATAACAAGTCTGATCTTAAGAGGCGTACATACATGTTTTTCAAAATATCAGTATTTCAAAATTATAGCATTTCTTATATAGTATTGCATAGCAATGGTCAGAGACTGAAACACATCAACCTAATCTATTATCAATGAGTGAAAACTACCAATTGAATGTAAAGCTTTTTGTTTCAATTGATTGCAGGAGGCAATTTCCTAATTTATTTATTTAATTCAAATCTACATATCGAATTAAGCATTTTTAAATCATCCACAAAACCCAGCTGTAGCTTAATACAATCAATTTAGGAGAAATATCGTAGTTTGTTAAAGTGTAATTTTTATTATTTGCTGCTTCTTTCTACATCGAAACTCTCTATATCGAAACGAATATATTAAAATTATTTTAATCCGTTCCAGTCGAACATGGGAAACTTCATTCAAACGAGCCGCGGCGGTTATGGCACGGGCGCTGGCGGCGGTGGTCCTTTAAATAATTTCCACAGTGTATTCAGTGGCGGCAGTGGCCCAGATTCGACCACACCTGCGCTACTCGATCCCACGGAGTTTCCATCGCTGACAAATGCGCGCGGTCAAAACGATCAGTCACTGCCCCAATCGAATCCGCTCCAGCCGCCGGGCAGTAAAGCTTATGGTAATTTTTTTACCTCTTGTGAGTTCAACGAAAAAATCCAATTTTTTAATTTAATTTCTGTTACAATTATTTGTTATGTTTGTATGTAATACGCGGCTTGGTGCGCTTTAAAAAAAAATGCTTACATAAAACAATTTTAATATATAATTATTAATAATATATAATTATATACCCATGTAACTGGGGAACTAGTGGTTGGAATTGACTTTAAAAATGCATTATACTCGTATGCGCTTTACTTACTTAAACGTAAAATGTAGAACTTAACTGAATTGAGGTACAAAAAAAGTCACACATTCATTTTCTTTTATTTTTTGCATTTATTATTATCTATGTGGAACTCCTAGTTCTCCAGTTACTCATATATCACTTCTTAAGGGCATTATTTAAATTTTTAAATGGTCTACGGTTCTCTAAATCTTTTTATTGTATGATTTTTGTGTTAACCCGATTAAATTTATTTTTTTGTTTTCACTATTCTGTAACTAATTTAATTTTGTTTTATTGCCAATAGATTGTGCTAAGTTGTATGCATTGGAATATGTAACTAATTCAGTAACTTTTTAGTTTGTGTGTCCCAATCCTAGTCTGTAGTCTATATCCATTTCATTTCGTTTGACTTATCATGGCGCGCATATTTGCAGTTGGCATGGTGAAGCAGCCAACGTCAGAGCAATCGGAATTCACGATGTCCAATGAGGACTTCCCTGCGTTACCGGGCACTCAAAACTCGGACGGCACAACGAACGCAGTTGGGAACAGCAGCGGCGCTGGTGGTGGCGTTACAGATAACAATCTGGATGGCACGGAAAAGGCAATGAATTCGATTATTGTCAGCGGTGGTGGTGGCAGCGGAGGTGGCAGTGGTGGCATTGTTGGTGGAAATGGTCTCGGCGCAGTGGGCAGTGGAATCGGTGGTGTTGTGGTTGGAGGCAACTCATCCAGTTCTAGTGTGGGCGTGAGTTCGACGCATGTAGGATTAGTGGGAGGAGGCAGCAGCGGTGTCAATAGTGTAACTGGCAGTAATGCGATGATGGGAGTCGGCGGTGGACTGGGCAGTGGTGGTAGCAGCGGCAGCGGCAACGAGCATCTGAACGATAATTCCAGCAATGATAAACTTGTGAAAAGTGGCGTTCAAACATCGCCAGATGGTGAGTGAATGGAGAGAAGAAAGTTATCAGATTTGGCACTTTTATTTTTCGAGTGCCCTTAAAATGCAAAAACAAATGTTCAATTTATAGCTACGAATGGCGAAACCCAATACTACATTTGTCGAGTCCCTGACTTTTGTTTTGTTTTTTAGCACATAAGGATCGATTTAATAACTAAAGCTATCGAGTTAGTTTGGCAAAGGTCTTGATTTGTTTGTCTATATCTCATATATCCTGTCCAAAAGATTTCCCAAAATGCGAGTGTGCTAAAAATTTATGTATTGTACCTATGATTTGTGTTTGTGGGTGTCTTTTATATTATATAAATGTGTCGTTATAAATTAGTTTCTGCTTTTACAGGCAAGGTCACAAACATACCAGCGAGCATGGTGAATAATCAGTTTGGCATGGTGGGCCTGCTGACATTCATTCGTGCCGCCGAATCGGATCCAAATCTGGTGGCGTTGTCTTTGGGCACTGATCTGACGGGTCTGGGATTGAATCTGAATTCACAAGAGAGTTTGCATCCAACATTCGCAGGACCGTACTCGGAACTGCCCTGCAGGTGTGACGAAACTTAAGCATTTTATTAATAAATTGTAAAACACCTTTGTTATTGTTTTACAGAGCACAAGACATTGAGTTCAACGTGCCACCCGAATATCTGATTAATTTCGCGATAAAAGATAAACTCAACGCGCCGCTACTGAAAAAACTGCAAGAAGATCTGCTCTTTTTTCTGTTCTATACGAATATCGGCGATATGATGCAATTGATGGCAGCAGCCGAGTTGTAAGTTGGGAAATAAATAACGTTAATTATGGTAGATTATTAATGAATAAATTACAATTGCAGGCACAGTCGTGAATGGCGGTATCTTGTGGAGGAGAAAATTTGGATAACTCGAATTCCTGGCATGAATCAATATGAAAAAAATGGTACAAAAGAGCGTGGCACCTTCTACTACTTTGATGCGCAAAGTTGGAAACGTTTGTCCAAGGTTTTCCAAATAGATGCCGAGAAATTAGATAAATGTCCCAATATAAGTGCGTTTATGAATGGACAGTCTGTATAATAATAATAAAAATGAAAAAATATGAAAAAGAACACTTATGTTTTTATTATGAGGGACGGCTTTGAATACGAATAAACGCGCGCCACCCCTCCGAGTGTTTGTTTTAAATGTTATGTTTTCCAACACTGCCGCTGAAACACAGCCAACTTCAAGTAGAAAAAGTAAAAGTGTATACACACCAATATTTGGAAATAATACAGTTGCGATGTCTTCGCAGCGCTTGCGCCTGATGCTTGAATTTAAACGTACTTTATTTGTTAATTATTAGCGCAAAATTTAGTGTTAATAGCTATGGATTCCAACACACCAGGCGTAAGTCTTTTTGAGGCTGCTGAGCCGTTGAAAATAAATTCGACGCTTGATCGTCAGGAGGAAGAGGAGATGCTGCAGGATCAGAAGAGACGCGAAGAGGAAGTAAGTGTTGGAATTTTTAGTATAAAAGCATTTTTTGCTTAATTGGCTTATACCATATTTTAGTTGGGAAATTTATTGGAAAATGCCTTTGATGATTTAGATGACGATGACAACGATGACAATGAGAGCACAATTGGCTCGACATCAAATTTTCATTCTGATATTTTGCCCCCAAAGCTTCCAGTGCCAGAGTCAGTACCGTCGCCACTGCCATTGCCGTTACCAATGCCAAATCATCATTTGCATCAACAACAGCCATGGCAGGGGCAGCACCACCAACAAGAACTACAAAACGCGAACTATGATACCGAAATACATAATCTGAAAATGATGCTGGAATCCAAAACTCATGAAGTAAACAACATTAATCAAAGGGCTAAAGATATGCACAAGAAATGCGATGAATATCAGAAGCGTTTAACCATCACGGAAGCAGAATTGGAGCGTGCGCTGCGCGAGAAGCAACATACACATGAACTGCTTGTGGATAGCAAAGAGAAATGTTCGAATCTGGACAGCATCATTGAGAAATTGCGTGGCGAGAAGAGGGATCTGGAATCGGAGAATAATCAACTAGCTGGTCAGTTAGAGACGGCACAGTCTCTGCTGGCGGATGTTCAACGTAAATATGATATGGTGGAGCGTGATTTTCACAAACGTGATGATCGCACTGCTGAGTTCCGCGTCAAACAGCTGGAAGAAAAGCAGCGTGCCCAAATGGAGCTGATGCAGCAGCAGCTTAGCCAGATGAGCGATCAGTTAGATAAGAAGAAACAGGAACTGGACACAATGCATACGCGGTATAATGCTCTACAGTCCAGCCACGAGACCATGTTGTTGGACAAGGCGGGAAAGATCAATGAGCTGAACAGTGCCTTAGACGTTGCGCAGCGACGTTTTAATCAATTGGCCGCTAAACCCAACTATGAGACGGAATATTTACGGCAGCAGCAATGCATTGCGGATTTGCATGCTCAGGTGGCCAGCATGGAACAGACGATAGCTACGCTCAATGAGCGTCTCAATGGCACCACAGCCGAGCTCGATTTGATGGATACGCTACTTCAGCAACATCAAACAGACGATACACCTGGTGGCCGCTTGAGCCAAGTGCAGCCGGGACGCCTAGTGGGCAGCACGCCACTGGATACTGTGGATCGCATTGGCCACATCAAGACGGAATTGTATCGGGCTCTTGGAAATCTCAAACAGAAACGCGAGGAGGTACGGAAGCTGGAGAAGCAACTGGAGGAGCGTCAGTGCGAGGTGCGTACATTGCGTGAACAAGAGAACAAATCTCTGGTGTTGGTGGCCACTATTAAGGAGGAGAAAATGCGTTTAGAGTCGCGCATAAAAATGCTAGAAAGCGAGCTCGTAGGCGAGCAACACAAATCCCTCAACGAGTCCAAGTTGAGCGCCCTACAAAAGGAACTGGATGTGCTCCAGGCGCAGCGGGAATCTTTGCAGCAGGAGCGGGCCCTTCAAGCACTCGAGCGTAAGGAAATTGAAGAGCGCCTCTCGAATGTACAGTTGGACTTGGAGCAGCATAGACAGGAACACGATAGCCTCAAACGTAACTATGAGCAACTGCAGCAGGATAATCGCCAGCTGCGCTCGCGGGCTACTGCCGATAGTTTACGCTTGGAGCTGGAGCGCCACAAAATCTTGCTGAAGGATGCCCAAAGCGAAGTGGAGCGCCTCAAAAAACTGTACGCAGACATAGCCAACGAGAAAGAGGCCATGTCCTATCAGCTGCTTAAGCTTCGCGACTCCGACAGCATAAAGGAACTGCAGGAGCAACGCGAGCAGGTGGCCAGTCTGCAGCGCACATTGCAGCTGGCCGAGCTGAAATCCGAAGAACTAGCCAAAATATTAGAGACAGAAAAATTGTGCCACGAGCGAGAATTGCAGGCGCTCCGACAAAAGACGGAGCAGGAGCGTCAAGCAGAGCTCAAGGCAGCCAGGGAAAAGAACGAGCAGAATTGCAGCAAATGCATGGATCATCTGGCTGAGATAACAAAGGTGAGATCAGCAAATTACCGTCTATGCCTAAAATTCAAAATTACATTTCTTTTATTTGTATGGCTATGAGTTTTAAATTTGATTTTATGTTAAGTGCATACAATAGTAACTATATTCAATATTCTTTACAACTTCTGTTCTTTAAAGCATAGTTTAATTAACTATTTCTTTTTTGTATTTTCTGCAGGCTGAAATCCAGATGTTAAAAATGAACAATGTCAATACGATGCAACGCAAGCAGCTTGAGGATCTCACGCGAGAAGTGCAAGAATCCAAGGAGTTGCAGAGACAGCTCGAGGATAAGATAGCCCTTGCGGAGAAACAAGAACGCTTGATTACTGAGCTTAAGACCAAGGCCGCAGAATTTGAAGAGTATATTAAATTGCATTGCAGTCCAGCAGAACGCGAGGGCCTCAATAGCATAACCTCACCAAAGCTGACTCCACAATCAGCTGCAGAGGTTAGTTCCAGTGCTGCGCCAACACCCAACCCTACCGCATCTCCAGGCGGCGGTGATGCTGACTCACCAAACGCCATGAATCAGGCACGCATCAAACGCATCGAGCAGCGCGTGCGTGATGAAATGGCCAAACTGTTTGCCGTTGAACTCAAACGCTTTATGGCACGCCTGCAACAGACGGAGGAGAAGAGTCTGTGCCTGCAACGCGAGTATAAATTGGTGACCAGCGAGCTGCAGCAGCGCCAAAACGAAGTGGAGCTGCTGAAGCAAACTATATTAGCAGAGCGCGAAAAAATTGAAGAAATCTTGGCCAATAAGGACCAGAGCCATCAGGCGGCTTTAGAAAAACAGAAAGTAATGCTGCAGATGTGTCGAAACGATCTGCATGCCAAGAATCAGCGCATTGCCGAGCTAATAAATGAACTGCAGGAACGCCACGAGACCATCGAATCAGAGCGTCAATCCATGAAGGCCGTGATGACGCAATGGGAGGAGCATCGCAAATCTGTAAACCAAGTGGAAAACGAATGGCGCAACAAATTGGAAACGCTGCGCGAAACCCACGAAGAGGCTATGCGGGCAGCCCAGATGCGATATCAGTCTGCCAAAAGAACTGCTCAAAACTATAAAATCTATGCAGAGGACAAGGAGGCGCACATGAAGCGCGAGTATGAGCGTATTAAGGCTGAGTATGAGCTATCACTGGCCAAAATTGAAATGACCATGAATCAGCGACTCGAACACAAAAGTCGGGAGCTGGCTGCCTCGAATACTCCACAGACGACAAGCACCTTGCCGACTGGGACGGCATCGAAGCTCTCCCACCAACATAAACAGAAGGATAGGCCGCATTCGGCTCAAGTTCGCGACAAGGAAAACTTACCGAGCAATAAGTAGAACTAATACTAGGATATATCTAATTGTTTACAGTACAAATTGCCAATTGTTTTTATATGCACATCAAAACTACTAAACATAGTATGATTTTTAACATTCCGTTATTTATTAAATGTCCAAGAATGTAGATTACCGAAAATACGATTTGGTTTAGTGAGAGGGAAATTAGTATCACGGGAAGTTGAAAATATATACATAGTTGGTTTTGAGCGAAATCTGAGGTCGAGTTAGCGTGACTGCGAGAATGAGGTAAGCATTATACGGCCAGGCATTTAGCCAGGTCATCTGATGTCTTGGTGGCCAAATTGGTGCTATTCTCTTCGCTACACTTGACACAGCGGGCATCTTGCGGGAGCAACTAGCAGTGCGATCGAGGTCCTGGCTACAGTTATTGTCGCTTTTGTGTGGCAGTTCAACACTGATGGACCCAACTCAGCAACTGTTACTAATAATTATGTCCCATTAGTGCCTTTGTTTTCCCAATTATAAATTAATGGTATTAATTAAAGTTATACAAATATGAAATTTGTTTAAATAGATACTAGGTTTTTTGGAGTCTGGCCCGCAGACTCTTTCTAGCTAATTTTCTCCCTTTTATTTTTGTAGGGATATAATCACTTTGTAGAACTTAAATCTAGTGATGTGGCTTTCATTTTCTTGTACTCTGTCCAGCACCTATCTAGTACCGTAAAAAATTTATCAATTTCAGGACGCGTTACACCCAAGGCGGCAGCCACAGTCAGATATGGCTGTTTGTAGTCCTCGTGATGGGCGCCAAAATCTGCAAATGTATGCCAAGCTTTAAAGATCTGTCCATGGTGCTGTAATTTTATAACTCACTGGCAAACTCATAGCCATCAATAGACTTATTCACACCCATCGGCACAACACGCACGCCCGAGACACCACGTGTGTGTAACATGGCACCTAGCGATGTAATGCCTATAGCAGACAACGTTTCCAGTGTCAATGCCAGAGATATGCCGTTCATTTTGGTGTCGGGAACACGCTCTCCATGTGTTGCCGCAAATTCCTGAAGTCTCTCCCGCAAATAAAGGAAATTTTGTTTTCGTTCACTCACTAGTCTCAAGTAGCCATCACGGCCAAGTGAAAGGAGCGTCATGAAGACATCGAGTGTTTGGGAGGAGGAGGCGCGACCCGCATAGGTGCTAGCCACCTGCTGAAGCGATTGTTCATCAAATGAGGCTACAATGGCGCCACCAACAGGTACCATTAGATTCTTATCGGTGCTCTGCACAAAGTAATCTACACGTCCTACCCGCTGGGCTTGCTCCAGCTGATGCGTTAGTTTGCTGCACTGCAGCCCGTAGGCATTGTTTATCACATGCGGCACTCCGGCATTGGCTGCAAGCTTAGCAATGGCCACAATATCGTCGCTGTTGCGTGGAGCGAAACAGCTTGTTGTCGTATAGAGGCATAGAATCTGGGCGGGATCGAGCTGCGCCAATTGCTGCTCAAACGCAGCAACATTTGTGATCAACGCCTTCTCCTCAGGCAGCAGTGTACCAGCTATGATGATGGGTTGCAAGCCGGCGGCAGTTATAGCCTTGAAGCACGACTTCTGGTCTATGCGAGACCAGAGCACATATTTAGCCAGAGGGCGGCTCTTGCGCAGAGACTGAAAGCACAGGGTTAGCGTCATACCTGTAGCTACCGGGACAAGAAAGCAGCACCGACAGCTGCGTATGCCCAGCATCTGAATAAGCTGCTGTAGCAAAGAGTTTGTCAAATTTGCCAGCAATGTGGAGCCGGCTGCCTTTGGCTGCGCCTCCAGCAGGTCGCCGGAACGTCCAATACCATGACCAAAATTGTAATGCCGCCTTGCAACGAGTTCTACGAGAAACAAATATAGTTGTAGATTTAAATATTAATTGCTCTGTTACTTACTACAGGCAATGCGCGCCTCTCGCTCTCCCATTCCAACGTTGTGACCGAAATTGTTGCTGTCTAGACCAGCCACTTGATGCACCAGCTCCTCGATATGTTCATCTGGCCAGCCATGCTCGGGCCATTTGCGCTGCAATCCAAAATCTTGTAGCTATCGCTCAACGGTAGTGTTTTTATTTTACCTCTTCTAAAAGCTCCTTAAAGGCACGCTGTTTGGAGCGCTGAGCGGCTACGCCCAGGCTCATGTAGTTTTTTGGAACCAGTTTTTCGCTAATCTTTAAGTCACCAAAACTCATTGCAGCTTCTAATTTGAAATCCCTTTAATAAATCGCATCAAACTATAAGCGACAGTGTTTCACAACGGTTGAAATTGAATGTAGTAGCGTTTTGGTGGGATATGAAGGTAAATATTTAAAAGCACATGGGCATTGGGCAGAATTAACATTAACTTAGTCATTAATCATTTTTCTTTGCTTGTTTAATCCTTATTTAGAATCTGTCTTGAGTTGGACAATTAATTTTTTTTTAATTAACCCTTGACAGATAAATATCTTAATGCGATACACATAGTTTTTAAATTTAAATTACTTAACTATTTCAATACTTCGGGAGCCGATCGAGATGGAGCGAATGACGCCTGAAGGGTCAATAAACTTTATAGCCAGGGTCTTGTCATGTGCAGAGACCTACTGGACATGGCAGTCCACGAGATGTTGTATGGTCTCAGGCTTTAATAATGAAATGTAAAAGTATGTGGCATACAATTTATATTCAATTATTAAATTAATAATCATTAGAATCCAGGAGGCTTAGAACAACAGGCTTATTGGTAACGTCCCTTGTAGTGTTGCATAACGACAAATGTGTGAGCAAGTAAGTGTGCACACACCACTGAAAAATACGCCTAGGATAGGAAGAGCCTCTCGCTGGCGGCGTCATTCAAAAACTTTCTGGCAGCGCGCATCAATTGCTCGGGCGTCGCTTTTTTTAATATGTACGTTGTTTAAATTTAATGAACTGAGAGTGCAAGTGTGTATTAAATACACATCGAAATCCCTTTAAAAACGATATATGAAGGGTAGATAGTTTAAAAAGTGTAAAATGTAAGTGTTTAAGTGTATTAGTTCTAGTGCAAGATTGAAAAATGTAAATGATTGCTCCCAAACAGGGATAATCCATCCGAGGAATCCCTTGATTTGGACGACTTTTTAGGGGATGTCGATGTGGATGCTGAGCGGCTTACGGCGATGCTGCGCAAACAGGCGGCCAAACAGCTACGCCAACCAAGAAACCAGCGGGTCTTTGGTGACCTCGATTTGGATTTGGATTTTGATGTGCACTTCACCAAGCGCGATAAAGCACAAGGTACTACAAATACGGGCACCAAGTCTCCACTGAGAGAATCAGGAAATAACCAGAATGCAATAAATGGGCTCATTCCAGCTGCTGCATCACCAGAAGCAGCGGCAACAGCGCCTGCTAGAGCCATAGCTTCAGCAGAACCACAATCACCCGTACACGAAAACTTACCACCACGCACCCTCAGTCTTTCACCCAGAAGTAGCTCACAAAATAGTCGCTCCGCACGGAATTCGGTGCGTCGCAGTGGCGGAGCAGCTGTCTCGGATCAACTGCGTCGCGTGGCCATACGCAGGCGATCGCAAAGCCATGGTCGACGACAATTGTTGAAGGAATTCGACGACCTCACACCTTCGCTAAGCACTTCCCCGAGTTCGGGAAGCTTTGTAAGTGAATTTTTGTTTTGTTTTGGCCAATTAAAAATTATATTTTTGATTATCACAGCAACCTGCAGTGAGCAGCACACCTTCTTCCCAACCGCATCGCACGGAACCGGCTTCCCTACTGCCTGAGGCTGTACAGTTGCGTCAGCAACACGAGGAGAATTTTCAACAAAATTTCCCGACCCTGGATCGCGTTGGAAGTGTCTGCCCTCTACCTCCATCCGGATCTCCGCGTTCAATCACACCCACGTCGCACACCACTCCTAGCTCTATGCATCGTTCAGCGGCGTCAGAAAGCTCTATACGTCGTACTTACACCATAGAAAAGGGACCCATGCCAGGCCAGTTGCTGCTATCGCCATCTGCAGCAACCAGCCAGGAAATATTACATGAAAGTCGTCAGCCAGTAGTGCGTGTGCGTCGTACTGCGGATTTGCTCTACCGGTCGGCGTCCCATCAAACTATTAGAGTTAATACGCCCGACCGTCAAATGGTGTTAGAATCCCCGTGTAGAAGTGTACATCTTGAGCCAGAGGTTGTTGTGCCCGAAACACAGGAGCCAGGAACTGAAAATGCCCCTGTAAATCAAACTGCACGTTTAATACAAGACATATCTCGCTCTACAAATGCGCCCATGGTTGTCATACCTATATCGTGTAATGGACACGCACCGGTGGCGTCGGTGGAGTCAATGAAGTCCGCTTCACCTAAAGTCAAAAACGCACAATCTATGGCGGTGCAAACTGCGGCAGTTAATGAGTCTGTAGGTCCCTGTACTAACCGAAGCGTGCAAACCTCCAATGACCAACCAATGGAGAACCTTGACCAAATTATGACGGACGATGACAGCGATGAGGATCGGACATCCCGACAATCGGATGCGATGGTTTCTGGCCAAACTGACAAATCAGTACCTTTAAATTTGGCGCCTTCCGGCGGTAATACGACACGACAGCGACGACTTCGTAAACGCAATTATAGAGCTCCAGTGCTGGACTCCACAACACAGCTGCTTAATTTACATCAGAATGGTAAGCGACGAACGCAAAATCCCAAAACGCAATTACCACTCAATAAGCCACCGAATGCACCAATCAATGGTGAACAATTTGCTGAAGAGTTGGTACGCATGAGCAACTATGAGATTCTTGATTTGCGCAAACGCAACTCACTGGGCAAAGTGGTTATGCCGCTAAATGGGCAGAGAACGCACATGGAGGAAGAACGGTGCCGGGAGAGACAGTTAGTGCTGGAGCAACAAATACAATGGGAGATATTGCGTCGCAATTTGGAAGGAAAGGGCGAGGGCTTGCCCGCCATCCCTTCGGATCCCATCGAGTTCACTGAAACAGAATTGGATGAGTATCAAAGCCCTGAAGAGCTGCACCCAGTGAGGCAGACACAGAATGAACAACAGGCAGCAGATGAGGAACAATCAGCATTGCGACAGCAGATAGTAACTGAGAAGCAGACCACTGAAATGGCACCCCCTGCCGATTTTCGTGACAAAAGCAGAGTGAATGCGGAGAAGTCTGTAGTAAGTGCACAATAAACACAACTGAGCAATCGCATTCTCTCAACTGTTATTTTTCCATATTGCTTACAGCGCCAAACACGAAGCTCAGAGTTGAGCAAAACAAAACGACGATCACGCTCACGACGTGGAAACGCTCCTATGGTAAGTAAAGGACGAAATGGTTGGTTAATAGTGTTAAGGATAAAACTGAGATTTCGTAGAAGTTGCATGTAGCAGAGATGCGTTATTAATTGTCAATATAATGACCAGAGATAACTGCTTATCAATTTAAAATTATTTTACAAGCCCGTCAAATTAAAATCAAACAACAACCGAATATATCGAAAGAAAATGAAATTTATAATTCGTTATTATTAGTATTTAAATGTGTTATTTAAATAATCAACGTGTCCAAAACGCCCAAAATTTAACATCGTTTAACAACTTTTATGCGTGATTATTTGGAACGAAAATTAAATGTCTTGTGCTCAGGCCTAGATAACTACTATTGCCATTATATTTTTCGTGATCATATACATTGTATTTTTCTCTGTGACAGACTAAGGAGTTGGAACACTATTTGTCATTGTCACAGACAATTAATGATCGTCGAAAAGCGAAATCGAACTCAAAACGACTTCTTTATAACAAAGGCGACTCCGAAACAGAGGACAGGGATGGATCGTCGCCTGAGAAACAGATGCGTGTAACAGATTTAGAAATTGCTCCAGAGCCACCAGCACAACGTAGTTTTAGTGGCAGCTTGGACCATATACATATTGTGCCGCCACCTCCATCACCGCCATTGATGCGACGTCAATCGCAATCAATGCGTGAGTTGCGGCGTTCGGCGAGAGTTACAGAGCTGGATGTGGTGGTCCATGACCTGAATGAGGAAGACGATGTTCTAGCTTCGCCGCCATCTCAATTTGCCACACGTTCGAGTCGCACACGAAATAATAGTAAACTGGTCGTGGATACCTCAAAATCACAGCGACGTTCAAAACGTCGTGTGGAGGCTGAGCCTGAAATTTCCGAAGATGAGTTGCCCAACACTCCACCACGTGAGTTTGCCCCAAGTCCAATTTACGAGATGCGTGACGACGAAGTGATAGTAGAGGTAGTGGCTACACCACCGGCAAGATTCCAAACGCAACGAAGGGAAAGCATGAAGGATATGGAAGCATTGCGAATGGAAACCCCCACACCCCCTGCTGCTCCGGGGGCACAACCCATCGAATCGAGGAGGTCGAATAATGAGCAGCCGAGCACAAGTAAAGCAGCGCGTCAAGTTTTAGAACAATCCCGAATAGCCTCAGTGGTTCCTGCTCCTACTCTTCCTTCTCCAGATGATGCTATTTTTAAGAAACCGCTGGCTCCAGCACCACGGCGTAAACAAATAAATAAATCTCAGCTGGAAAGACAAATGGATAAGCTGCGCATGTCGCATTTGGTCAATGCGACGCTTAAAGATTCCGAAACCAGTGGCAAAGAGGATTCATGTAAGTTAACAATCACATGCTAGTGATATTTATTTAAAAATATTGCAATATTATGCATAAAAGAGCATGTATATCTATGAAAATATTTAAATGAAGAAACGAAAGCTTTTCGAGTTTAACTGTGAACAGTAATTGGGGTACATTTTTGAAGCAAATTTCGTAATCCCAGTAATGTTTTTATTATGTTCTCAGCAGCAGTTCGTCGATCGAAGCGTGGTCATGTGCCTCTGAAGAATACTTGGATACACACGGTCGTAAATCCGCTGAAGCTGGGCTTTTTAGGTAATCAGAGTATCGTTGTTAATAAGGCCAAGACGAAGAAGCCGCGAAAGGAAGTACAACAACGAACAGAAGACGGCAGCTTATTTTTCAGACTGCCATTGTCCAGCAGCACGCCAATCAATGTACCCGTCAGCACAAACACTCATCCAACGAGCGATGCAAGTACTGCGAAACAAATGGCTGCAGCGCACCAGACTGCAGACAGCGAGGCGATCTCCGCCTTTAGTGGACTAGGCGATACGAATACTTACACATCAGGCATTGAACCATTGCCAGAAACTGCCGACGAACAGCAACAGGAGGAGCGACAGCAAGAACAGGAGACGCCAGTGTCAAAATCATCAGAAAAGAAGATAAACACAAAGCAAACGGCTGTAGTTGCTCCCAAAAAACGAAGTAGAAAGAAGAATGTACAAGAGCTGCCTAAGCAGCCAGCGATAGAGCAGGTGGAAGAACAAAAGAAAGTTCCAAAGAAAGCTGGACGCAAAAAGAAAACCCAAGTCGATCCGGAGAATCAAGCGGTGGAAGAGGAACAAGAGCGGCAACAAATGAATACGGATGAGCTTGTGCCATCACCGCCGCTCTCACCGACTACTTCCGAAATGGTATCTTCAGCGGCAGCAGAAGGAGCAGTAGCTGCTAGTCCGGCATTCACTGAAGATGATGAGCAACAAGCCGCTTCAGCTCGCCTCATGGCTTGGCTCCGAGGCGCCTCTGAAACGCAGCCTGGTGATACCGCAAATTGGACTGCAACGGATTTCAAGACCATGCATCTATGTAAAATTTCTACCCCTTTCCAACTTTTCTGTATTTTTAACATCCTCTCTATTCTCAAAACAGCATCTGTGGGTAGCTTGGTCTTCACTTCACTCGAAGGTGTTGACTTTGCTTTCTACGACACGGAACAGAAGGCTTGTTTGGGTTACATGCGCCTAAAACCTCTGCAAGAACGAAGTGCTAAGCGTGCTAAGAGTTATACTTTGGTATGTAGACTAAAATCCATAAAACGACAACATTTTCTAGAACACATTAAAAATGTTAAATAACTTTGTTGTTATTGTAATGTGTCTGTTGCAATTAATTGATTTTAATTTCCATTTGTTCCTAGCATTTCGTTCTGCTTCATGGGCAGGTAGCTGTAGATAGCACGGCTGCTGGTGTCGAGGAAACTGAAAACAGTGTTTTGGGTCCCGGCGACATGGTTGAGATTAACAAAGGCATGTTATTTCGGTTAGATTGATCTCGAAAATCTTCTGTTAAATAAAATATGTTATCATATTCTTGCAGGCACGCGCTATAGTATTCGGAACTTGGTAAATACAGTCAGTTTGCTGATGGTGTTCCGTCGGTGAGCCTTAATCTCTATCAGTTATAGACGTCGCTATAACTATGTACAGCAGATGAGGCGCACGATCGCACGTTTACATTTACAAAATAGAAATTACCTTATTTTGTTATAGTTATCGATAATTTACATAAAAACCAATTGTATTTTATATTTTCATATGTATTGTATTGCTCAAATTTTCCGTTAAAAGTCAAGAAATAACATTTGTATTCTAAGTTTTATTAATAAATTGCATTTGGTTGTATATACACATACATATTATTCCCTTAAATGAAGTTTTTCATGTTAAATTTGATTTGATTATGGTCTAAATTGAAATTTACAAAACACACATTAAATTTAACTTTTTATATAAAATATAAATGCTCTACAAAACTACATTGTCGTCATTAAAAATGGGTTTCTATTTTTGTTCTCATTTTTCAACTAAAATAATGTACGAGCATAAATGTAATTTGTATACAGCTTGGAATAAAATTGAATATATTGTCGAAGTGTTATTGAAGTTTGTAGGTATTTTATAATATCTTACATATATATAAAACAATTTGTTTGGGTGAATTGAACAACAACGTATAATAATTTTATAAAAAAAAAAAAAAAAAAAAAAAAAAATAATTTGGGGTATTAAAGATGCGGAAGTTTGTGTGAATAAACGCTATATTCGAATGACGGAATATCCAAACAATTCCTATATACGAGTACTAAGATACCAATATGCACCTAAGATTGTAGTTCTCGTTTTTTGAAGGAAGTTTGGCTGTCATAGGATCAAGTTGGAGCCAACAACAGAATATAGTTTTGTTGGCAAGCGAAAGCTTTTTTTCCGAAGGAGTTTGTGTATTCTGCACACTGCTTTAGGTTTTTGATTCCTCCAGGTATGCTGGATATAAGGATAACTTGTCAATGCTGCTGGATTTGTGTTTTTTTCTTGTTTTCTTATCTGCTGTTAATACTTGTAGATAAAGTAAATTGCTTTTTGGCGAACAAAATATGTTGCCTACTTTTGTGCGTCAATCCTCATCGTCTGGCAAATGGTTGACTGGTGAGTCCAGTTGCTAATGTTTTTGAGTAAAATGTTTTGTGCTTAAGGTCTTTGACCAAAATGCTTTATGTTTTGTGCAATGAGCGGGCAAAAGGCGCAGAATTGCTTTTGGGCCAGACAACTACATAAAGCTTTACTTAGCTCATGTTGTATTCCATGTCATGTAGACCAACCTACAGACTGACCGTCCGCCCGCCTATCTAAATTGTTCACAATTTGAAGTTCATTTAATTTTCATTTTCATTGCGAATCTTACAAGTTGCACGTCCCAGACGTTCCGAAGGGGGAGCGGGAGATTCTGTGTAGGTGTTCTTTGTGTCATTGAAGACTTGAAAAATAAAATGGCAAACAGGCATAACAGTAGCAGCAGCAACAACAGCTGCGTCTGTAATTGCAAGCGTGGTTTAGCAATTTCATTTACTTGGCAAGTTTTTAACACATTTTTCACGTTTTATTTTCTCTGTGCGTTTGTAGCAGCTCTTTAGAAGTTTTTACAAAAGACTATATAACACATACACGCTCATGCTTCAGTGATGCCCGATTTGGCTTAAAAATCGGCTAATTGTAAAACCATAATTTTTGAATAGACTGCACCATTTCAAGCCTTAGACTGTTTATTTACCTTATGTATAGTATAATAAAGAGTTATTAGGAAAATAGCGGTAAACAAGGATGAAAGGGATATTTTCTTTATATCCCAAATCACTTCTGGCAGTAGCATTATTCAGCTTATTCAATTACTAAATTATTATTGTTAATGAACGTGTGGTCGGGGGGGGGGGGGGGGGGGACGGACACACCCCCTGCCCAACCTGCCTACGCCCTTGCCTGTGAGCCACTGCACTTATCTTTAACTTCCATAATCCCTAACTTACTTTAACTAACTTCTGGTATAAATTTAAAAGCGATTGATTCAATATAATTCATACACACTTGGAGATAAATATTTGTTATGTGTAAAATCGAAAAAGCTAGGCCGGGGAGAGTTCTTAAACTACACAATTTGTTTTTATTAATACTTCTCCGACATAGGTGTTTCAAAATCGATTTTAAAGACAATTTAAAATATGAGTTAATTTTGTCTAATTTCGGCGAATTTTACATCTTTTCAAAAATGTAAACCTTAAAAAAGTAGAAATCTGTATAAATGTGCTGCCTGCTTTTAAAATTGAGTTAATTTGTTGTGCAAATAAGTTACCTTTCTGACACTCATCTAAACAAAACTCTTCAGAAAGATGGCAGAAACGTTGATATGCAGTATCAAGGAATTTAATAGATGTAAGCCGAAATTTGACCATAAAATGGCTAAACTAACAACACTGACGCACACGGGAGGCTGCACATACAAATAAATAAATGTGAAGAGCAAAAATTAAATCAGCAGAGTTTTGGCATGAAAGTGAATTTTAGAAAAGCGCGCAGCACGCGTTCTGCACCTGTTTGTGTGCCGAATGTTTGGTGTGCGGATGAAGGGGTGCGTCTGTGTGTGTGGATATGTGTGGGCTGATGTGCATTAGGCACAGGAATTGAAAACATTTAAAATATTTGAAACAACTACACATTCACATGAACATTACAAATGCGCGTTAAGCCTTTGATCAACGTGCTGAAAGGAAGGCAAGGCGCAATCAGCAGCACATCGACATAATCATCATCATTATTATTATTTTTGTTATTATCATCAACGTGATGATGAACAACAACAAAAAAGTTCTGCATCGACATCAGCATCGTTATTTAGTGGCGCAAAGCGCGTGTTGCAAAATGCTTTTAATGATGATAAAGGCTTGATGGATTGCTGGATGGGCATGTTGGTATGATGGCTGACATGCAGGCGTCGACATTTTCAAGCCTTTCCCCGAGTTATTAGCATGCATTTTGTGAGTCGTGCTTTTAGCAGCTTCCGTTTGATGATGCTGCTCCTGTTTCTGTTGGCCACATTGCCGACCCACGCATGCCAATCAGCTACCGATATATACTTGTACACCCACATAGACCCACTAACATCCACGCAGAGCTCGTTCACACCCACACAAACGCACTCATTGCATCAGAGCCCACACAGCTGGCGTGCCACTACGTGCCCAACCAGTTGCTCCTTTGGCGCTGAATTTCAATTTGTTGGCAAACAGACAGCGTGTCAACCGCAGTGGCAACAGCTACAGCAACAACAACAACAGGATATCCCACTGACATGGCAACCAACTATTGGGTTGATCGAAAATAAACGTACGCTTTGAATTAGCAACTTTGAACACAAATCAATACGAGACTTCAATGCAAACGAATTCAGTCATGAGAGGAAGAATCAGAAAATTGCAAAGGTTGGCTTAATACAAATATTCTGTTCCATATATTTGCTATGGAAAGACTATAAAATATAGTCGGTTGACTGGAAATAAGTTTAATTAATGCTCAATTATATTTGTAAGATTTGTAGTTGCAAACGACTATGATATTTGGCACTGATGGAAAATATTGAATTTTCTAGTTCACAGATATAGCAAATCAAGTTTTGTTAAGTATTTAAGCTCTGGCATAATCGCAGAAAAGTTATGGGTTTCGGGAAGGACATGCATTTACTAAATGAATGCTTTCCTTTTAATAAAGTTATGCAATGTATGTTAACTATGAAGCATTAAAGATTGCGAACTGAAAACGTCTTTCATTGCAAATATTTACGGGTATAATATAAATAAAGACTTCAAGTAATTATTACAGAATGCCTCGACTAGCGAATATTAGCTAGCCAGTTTGGTAAGCTAGATTTAAACACAAAATGTAAAGGAAATATTTTCCCATTTACACATTGACCAGAAAAGCTAAGCCTAACTGAAAGATACCCGCAGAGTTTACTTACATCGACACGACCTTTAACAGGTTTTATTTATTTCAGGAGAAACCTGTTCTCCTCAAATATCAAACAAAAAATATGATGTTGGCGGAGCCGCGTGTACCTATATATTCATAATTAATAGCACAAATATACTTAGTAAACATATTAAAGACACATGGTTCTTTAAGTTCACAGATAACGACTTTTCATAAACATATGCTATGAATAGTATTATAACATACTCGTACGTATAACAACAACTCAAAGAATATAAAAACGATTTTAAAGTGCATTCAGTCTTTCAGAAAACTTTAAATAGCCGTATTTATTAAAATATCAATTTTAAAAGCAATTAGAGTGAGAATTGAGGCTGAAAAATTGCGTAAAAGGATGATTATTTGCATACAAACTCATGCTTCTGCTCACACACAAATAGTATCCAGCTTTTAACTGCAACTGCACATCTGCCTGTTGGTCTTTTAATAAAAAATATGGATGCAAGCGCAATAACATATATTGAATCGAATAAATAAATAAGCAGGGAAGTGCATGTTTTTAATAAGAATATAATTTTAATAGCAGCATCATGAGCAAAACAACTGCTGGATGCACTTCCAAGCCAGGTTCCCCCAGTTTAAAAGTTTAAAAACTATTATTAATCAATATCGATTATACGATAAAATGTATGTGTTATAAAATTGTAAGCAAACAATTTTCAAACTGAATATTATTAAGTTTGGCATTTTGTAATTAAGCGAACTATTATGACCTATATCTGCCTGCTGATTCGGAATAAAAAAAGGGAGAGGGAGAGGGAGAGAGAAATGTGTAAGTGGGATAAATGAGAATCATAAATATTAATATATGAATCAATTTTAAAATTCACAAGTTAGTTTTAAGTGACTCTGTGCTATTAATCATTGACAATATAAATTTGGTAGTATCTGTTCATTTTCAAGTTGCATAAATTTACTTTATTCGATCTAAAATTAAATAAATACGAAACCTAAAAAATTCTTAAACCCAGAATTGTATACTTCCAACAATAGTTTGTACTTTAAATAAAAATACACGTTTTTTTCTCAGTGTGTACCCCAAATGTTGTTGATGTACAATTAAGTACCATAAAATAAATTAAGTAATGACGTACATGAATAGCGATTCTTAAATATGTACAAGTATACTTATAGTATCAGTAACTGACGCTCTGCGGTATTTATTTTTCATATCTTTAGCTGGACAGCAAATCGATTAATTCAATTAAATTTCAAATTATATGCCACAAAGCGACAACCACACACGCACACACGCACAAACACACATACACTCCCATCTTATGTGGTTGACTTTAAGTTTGCGGGAGACAGAGATCG